TCGTAGTTACGGTTATAATTGCCTTTCTGGGAGTTGGTGACTTTTTTTTTTTTTTTTTTTTTTTTTTTTCCAACATGGGAAGAGATATACATTTGCATGTATTGAACCCTTTCTGAACAATACTAAAGGTGAATCTTCCCCATTATGCAGTCGTGTGAACTTAACCACAATGAAAACGGGTAGACAGATATATTGTTGTTTGCTCATCTTCGTTGCCCATTCAGTTTTGTGCACATTACTGTGTATACCAAAATGAAAAACAACAAAAGTAAAGGGGGAAATAAAAAGAAAGTCGAAAGGGCAAAGGGCGGGAGTATTATTACCCCTGGGAATGCGGACTCCCCAAAAAGTACCCTCCAAAATGGGGGAGGTAAAGACAAAGACAAGGAGAAAGGGGAAGCGACAGGAGGCACCTATGAAGAGGGAGCTCAAGAGGAAGACCAAAACAAACATCGCGATGGTCATCAAACTGCAGATAACAATTTTGGAGCGGCTGAAAAGATAAGCCCCAGCCCATCCTCCGCGTGTGCACCTATGCAGGTGCCCCCTTCAGGGAAAAAGGTGGAATACACCAAAAAGGAAAACAATAAGAAAAAGGCACAAAAAGGGAAGACGAGCATCATCCAAAAGGGTGCCGCTGCCTCGGGTGATATGAATGTGGAGAACGAAAAACAAAGCAATAATAACAAAAAGAGAAATAAACCGACTGCTGCGAAAAACTCCAAAAAGGTTGATCAAAACGGTGAACAGAATGTTAACCGAGGGGAAGACAGCAAAAAGGGGTTGGAAAAAAAGATGCACGAGGAAGAAACAAAAAATACGAAAGGGGAAATTGAATACGAAGGAGAGTCACTCATTAACAAACAACCCATGATAGGGAGAGACTTAGCGAAAAGTAGAGGAGAAGGAGAAACCGCAAGCATCTCGCCAGATCACCAAATTTTGGAGAGCGTAGCGAAAAATGAAGCAGGTAACAAGGGTGAGAACGCCTACGAAAACTCGGACAATGCCAATGGAGTAAAAATAAATGCAAGTAAAAAGAGGAAAGTAAAAAAGCAAAACGAACCGAGCAATGACGAACCTGAGGCAACCACCTTAATCGAAAAGAACCAAAAAAAAACTGCCACCAAAAACGAAGCGGCAAATAAACCAAAAGGAGCAGAAGTTACCCTCAGCGAAGAAGAAACAAAAGAAAAAATTTACAAATATATGAAACAAACTAATAGACCCTACTCAGTCATTAATGTGTACGACAACCTACATGGGACCATCAGCAAAAATGTCGTCCAAAAACTAATGGACGAATTAAGTACAGAAAAAAAACTTCAGTGTAAAGAGTATGGGAAGGCTAAAGTATACCTTGTCAATCAAAGGGAATTTAAAAGCTTAAATGTAAATGAAATGAGGAAATTAAAAAACGACATTGAAATAATGAGACAGCAAACAGAAGTGGCCAAAAATGATCTTAACCATTTTGTAAAAATAAAAAAAAAGTTCATGCAAGATTTAGAGCTAGTGGAAAACATGCATAAATACAAAAAGGATTTCCAACTAGTGGAGGAAGAAATAAAAGTGTATGAAGAGGCAAACAAAACATGCAAGCTAACTGCGGACGAAATTGACCTGATTAAAAAAAGGCATGGCTACCTGCACGCCATGTGGCTCAAGAGGAAAAGCCTCTGTGTGGAAATAATTAAGTGCCTTGCCACGGTAACGGATAAGGACGCCAAGGGCGTCATGTTCCATTTGGGCATCGACGTCGACGAAGACGTGGTCCCGCTCAGTTTGTACTCCTAGAGTGGCACAGCGGCGAAACGTTCATACCAATGCGTCGCGTTCGCTGCTGCCCCTAGAACAGCGAGAAGACCACGTGCATATACTCATCTTAAAACAACAAATGCACAACAAGATAGCCAGTTCGGTTGCCCTGTCACCTCCTATATGCGTTTATCGTGGCGATAACTTTCAATGAAGGCTCAAATTGTTAGCCACGAACAACCCGCAAGGATCTTATGACATTTGCAAAATAGCACCGGGGGGGATTTTCCTGACAACTCACCCCCTGCTGCAATACATTTATGGCATGTACTATTGTACAGAGCAATGCCTCGTGCAAAGAGACACGTGAGGCTTCTTCGTTTTTTTTTTCTTAAATTTTAACAATTTGGGGGTTACTAAATTGTAAAGGTGCAAAAAAAAAAAAAAAAAAAAAAAGCAAAGGGGAAAACGACAAACGGTAAGCGGCAAAATCGCATCACACGGGAGATTTATTCTTTTTGTACAAAATGGGAAAGCACCCAAAGTGTACGTTACAAATGTATGTACACTTTGACGAGCAACAGTAGTTATGTCTTCGAAGTGAATTGAGACAGGGGAGGAAAAGAAAAAAAAAAAAATTCCATCATTGCAGATGGGGACAAGATAACTTATAAAAGGTTTTAAAATGAGACAAATGCCAACTGAACGGATATCCATTTGGCCATACGCGTGAAACGTGGATCCACTTTTGGAGGGTCCACCTATGGGGTCATTTGCACTTGCACACCAGTCTGCTATTCTCCTTTCTCCTTCTCGACGCGCTGAGGGGCAGATATACAACGCTGCCCAACAAGACGACACAGTGAAGTACAAAAAAAAAAAAAAAAAAAAAAAAAAAAAAAAAATCGCTCGAAGGTTAGCTAAGCAATAGTGCACTATTTTTACCCACGCTGGGTGCGGAGGGGGGAAGGCCCAAAAATTACGTCTCCTTCACCACAATTTTTGGGAAGACATTCATTGTCTGAAGCTCCTGGAAGAGCAATTTGCATGCATAGGGCATTTTAACAAGAGCATTTTTATCGCATTTCTGACAAAAGGTGCAGTATGTATCGTAACCCATCATGCCACAATCTTCACAAATGTACACATCACACACATCACTACTTAACATTAATCGCTCAAGTAACAAATTACTAACACCGTATGCTATTAAGCAATCTCTTTCCATTTCACCTAAGCGTAATCCTCCTTCTTTCGATCTCCCTTCAGTCGGTTGCCTAGTTAACAACTGTCTTGGTCCTCTAGCCCTAGCATGGATTTTATCCTGTACCATGTGCTTTAGCTTTTGATAATAAATGGGTCCCATGAAGATATACGTTTCTAATGGTTCCCCTGTTAATCCTGAGTACATCAATTCCTTACTAGAACAGTTGAAACCATATTTAAACAAAATGGAGGCCATTTCTTCAAAGGGGGTGCCACTAAAAATGGACCCGTATTTTAATTCTCCATCTAGGACTGCTGACTTGGAGGCGACAAGTTCAAGTAGCTTCCCCACTGTCATACGGGAGGGAAATCCATGCGGGTTCATAATTAAATCTGGGCATATACCCGATTCAGTAAATGGCATATCTTCCTGATTCACTAGCAAGCCCACGACTCCCTTCTGACCATGCCTTGAGCTAAATTTATCCCCCAATTCGGGTAGTCTCGTTTGGCGCATAATAATTTTGTATATTTTTAACCCTTCGGCGTTTTCTGTAAAAATAATTTTGTCAATATAAGATGGGTACACACTTTTGTACTTAACCTCATTTGACTTTAAATCATTTAAATCGATTTTACTAATATCCTTTACGTGATCCTTGACGTTCCTTGGTGAGTACTTATTTATGTACACTTGTCCTTCTTTCAGCAAATACCCAATGGAGACTACTCCGTCCACATCCAGCGCGTGATATTTTTTAATTTCTTTATTGTGAAAAGTTTTCGGCTCATCCACGTTTGCACCTGCACCGTTTTCAACGTGATCTCTTTCTACCTTTATGTGTTGTCCGTGTGCGGTCAGCTGATCTGGTTGCATTTTCCCCTGCTGCGCTTGGCGTTGTTTCTCCTGACGCTGCTGCATCTTGCTGATGGCCAAGGGAGAAGGCAGAACCAGATCATTGGACCCATTAAAGTACTTCTTCAACTCCACGGCATGCTTCCTCAAAGACATGCACCGTCCAAAGCCCCTATCGATGGAGGATTTATTCATGACGATCGCATCTTCAATGTCATACCCACAGAAACTCATAACGGCCACAATGGCATTCTGTCCAGCGGGTAATTTTTCAAAGTTAATAAATTCAATGGTCTTGGATTTCACTAAAGGTTTCTGAGGGTACACAAGCAGATAAAGCAAAGTGTCACAGCGTACAAACTGATTATACCCAATGGCTCCAATGGCTTGCTTCCCCATTGCACATTGGTATGTGTTCCTTGGGCTTTGGTTATGATTTGGATAAGGGATGAGTCCAGCTACCACACCTAATATTGTCAGAGGGTCTATTTCTAAATGTGTCGTATTCACAGAAATGTCTGACTCGTTCAGCGCGATAAGCAGATTGTTCTGTTCATTCACATCAATCCACTCGATGACGGAACTTTGAAGTAAATCAAAAAAGTTAATGGTTCCATTTTCTAACGATAGAATATGTTTCTGGGATAATTTGGACTTTCCATTTTCTACAATAATCAACGGTCTGCATAATCTACCACCATCGGTCGAAATGTAAATTGCGTTATGCAAAAAATTATCATATATAGAAACGAACTGCCCAATTTTACCATACCTTCTTAAGCACCTAATTCTCCTCATAAATATGCGTGGCTTCCTGTGTACACCTAGAAGTATTCCATTAAAAATTACAAAAAAAATTCCCTCCTTGTACATTTCCTCTCCTGTTAAGCTGTCACTGTCTTCTACACCCAGGGTGTATAATATTTCGATTAGATGTTCATTATTCTCATTATCATTCGTAACATGTGTCATGAGTGCCAAATTTTTAACGAGTCCACAGGATTCCCCTTCTGGAGTGTCACAGGGGCATAGAACTCCCCACTGGGATGGTTGTAATGCTCTTGGCCCACTAACCTTTCTACCCTTTTCGAACTGCGAATTCAGTCTGGTCATCATCCCGATGCAGGCAATGAAAGATAAACGGGATAGTACCTGTGACACTCCACTTTTCTCCATCTTAAACCTTTTAATGTTCCAGTTGCCGGTCGAAATGGCTGCCTGCATCCCCCTTGTAATGATATCCTTTGGTAAACTCCGAAACACATCAGGGTAGGTTTCATTTATATTTCCACTGTACTTCAACTTAGATGTGTAATTACTTTGCATATATTTGCTGAGCGTTTGATCTATCTGCTTCTTTAAAGTGAAATAAAATCGTTTGTATAAATCTTCGAACAGGAGAGATATTAGCTGCCCAGCTAACTCCAACCTCTTGTTACCATAATAATCTTTATCATCTAATTCGTTTTTATTATTTGCGCTATCTAGAACCCGTCTAATCATAAGACAGATGCATCTAGCTTTGTTTCTAAAATCATATTTGTTCTTCTGCTGAATGTGAGATAGAAGAACTCTACTTAGAAAATCCAACCCTTCTTCAATAATATCCTTTTCACTTTTTACTTGCTTTTCTTTCATAGAACTGAAGAACCCCTTGGCTAGTAATCTGGGCCTAATTTTTTTCCCTATGTAAAGAAGTGCATCTAAATTAGTCCTTATATTTTCGCTGTACAACTCGTACAATGAGAGCAAAATACCGTTTAGGTAATTTCTATGAGATCCTATCATTTGAAATATTTCCTGGTCGCTCTCGTACCCCATGGCTCTCAGGATAATACACACCCCAATGTCCTCAATGAAGGAATTGTGCTTTAGGTACAATTTGTTATTCTTATAAACGATGGCACATCTACTCTTCGACTCAGCTGTTGTAGATGTGATGGTTGCACAAATATTATGTTTTATGTCCATCTCAACAATGATTCTATTTTTCGACAGCTGCTCTTGCATCAAAAGAACCCTTTCGGTTCCTTTAACAATGAAATATCCTCCAGGGTCATAGGGACATTCACCCAATTTCATCAGTTCCTCTTCACTCTTGTTATTTAGAATACAAATGTCACTTCTCAACATAACAGGGAGCCGACCAATCTCGACGTTGTTCTTTCTAATTATGTTACTACCCTTTACATATTCCACATCTACATAAATGGGAGCCGAATAGGTTAGGTCTCTTTGCCGACATATTTGTGGAGTCAAATTTGTTTCAATCATATTTTCTTCAACCAATGGTCTCCCAACAAATATGTCTAAGAACTCCACATAGAAATGCTCGTCTATATCAGATTTTAAAATTTTATTTGTCGTTGCATTCATAATTGTTTTTATTTCATGCTTGATGAAATGGTTGTATGATTCGATGTGCTGCTTAACCAACCCCTTAACCTTTAGGTATGCTGGCAGCAGCTTCCATTTTTCGGTTAAATTTTTTATATCCTTTGATTCTTCATATATCTTTTTGTTATGTGCCCTACTTTTTACAACCAGTTCAGAGAAATTGTCTTCTTCTGTGTTTTTCCTTTTATTGGGGGCAGACCTAGGGGCGTCAACAGAGATGGGGTCGTAATCCACTGCTTCGCTTTTTACCCCCACATGTGCCCTACCGTTTGGTTTATTCTGCCTAAATTGGCCATACACCTGATTAACCGCTTCGCCCTTGTCACTGCGTTGTGACAACCCCAGGGCGTACCCCTCGCTGATGTTATCCTGCTTTTTTACATTCTTCACGACAGAAGCGCTCCCTCTAAGACTCCCTTCACCCACATTTTTATACTCGTTTATGTCTCCTGCGAAAACGACGCTGCTCATTTCTTCGTCCGATTCGCCGATCTTTATTTTAAACTTTTCCTCGTTCCCCCTTTTGTCCTTGTGGCCAAAACTAAGCGGGTCTTGTTTGGTACCCTTGGCTTCCACACCTTCGTGGACTTCCTTGCCATCCCAGCTCTCTTTCACCCTGTATGCAGATTCATCTTCCTCTTTTGCATCTGCCGGGTTCCCTTCCATTACGTCGTCCACCTCAACGTTGTCTTCACTATTCTCCTCCGCTTTCCCTTTTTTTTTTTTCGCCTTAATTCGTATGACTCCCTTCATGGTGTGGTGTGGTCCGGAGGCTCTCAGTTTGGAAATTTTTTGTAGAGCAGCTAATCACACTACGGCGCCTCCCTCTGTTCTAATGTCCCTCCAAAAAAGGGGACAGAAAAGGATGTGAACTCGCTTGGTGCACCAACGCCTGCGTAATAGATACACAGGGGTATATACACCCCCCCTACGACTACTTAAACTGTGCGCCTTTGGACCATTTGCTATAAAACTTGCTAATTTTTCTCTTTTCGTGTACAACGTAGGATTGTGGCAGTTCGGGTTTACTCAAATCATTTCGAATAATTTATCACAAGTAGAATTTTACTTAACCTGTTTCAAAAAGCAATGCTTACAGAATCTTCTTAGCTTTGCGTCGTTCTCCCCTGCTACGTTTGAGCTAGCCAAAATGGAGAAGCTGCGCAAAAACGATCTGAGCTTGGATTAAACTGGCACGTTGGCTCCTACGACAAAAGTAGGCCATAACTGATAATAACCACTTTATGCCTATTTTTTTTTCTCTCCTAACAAAATGTTAAACGGGGGTTAGAAAAGAAGAGAGGACCGTTCAAACATGCATAACGTGCATTAATTATGTACATATAAATTTACACTTATGCGTGGTGGTAATGATGGCCTGTGGAGAAGGATTTAGGAATGAACTTTCATCTGCCACAACTTTTCGATTTTTTTTTTTTTTTTTTTTTTTTTTTTCTCCTGCTTCATTCCATCTGTGCAGTAAAATTAATTGGTGCTATTTTTTCGCCCACGCTTGTAATTACCTTATTTCGCACATACAAATAACAATTCTCCTTTTGCGCTGGTGCGGGAACAAACCCGGTTTGATGTTGATAATAAGAGACCCTTTCGCGACTATGTGGCGCTAACACGAATCCATAGGGGAGCAGAAGAACACATGCGTTCGTGTCACCTGTGTATGAAATTATCGGCGGTTGCTGCTTCTGTCGCTGCTTCTGTTGCTGCTTTATTCTGGGTTCAGCTCTTTTGTCGCCTCGAATTTCGCCCCGCATAGTGTACCTCTTTTCCAGAAGGAAATAAACTTGTAACGTTTTTCATCTTTTTTCCCCATCTTTTCAGTGCCAGCACCCAATTTTGTCTGCACCATTTTTTTTTTTTTTTACCGCTTTTGAAAAGGAAAAAATGAATAAGAATAACCGCACTATGAGCTTTCCAAATGAAGGAGAAAAAATGTTTGGACTCGTGTGAAGGACGTTGGGTAAGTAATTATACCAGTCCTGTTAACGTGTAGGTGGTGAAATGTAATAGCCGCGTCTATTCATGTATAATCAGGTCTCCACATACAAAGACATACACTTACACAGATCGCCGCGGCACTCATTTTCCCCCAAACGCGCCTCACATTGTGAAGACACCACAGGGAAAAATTGCTGTGTCAGCCAACTTCGTTTCCACGCTCCAACGAGAGCTCCATACACATCTCCACATAGCGACGCACAAGTGCATTTACCCCTACGCCTTATATGCCATTCTTAAACTCATTATTATGGCACCGTCCAGTGAAATATGCCGAGACGGAATGATAGGCAATGCGTTACAAAAATTTGAAAGAGACAATGTATAATATTTGTCTTGCCGACATGGAAAGTAGCGTCCCAGGGGGAACCCACCCGTGGCGCGCTTTTTTTTCTTTTCCTTGTCCTCTGCCCCCCCGGGGGAACTTTAACCAGTTGAGGAACATTTTGATCGTCGCTGAACTATTCAGTGGCGCGACAATATAAGGTTTTGAAAAAATGAGTTCGCAACATTTATATACAATTAAAAAAGGGGACATGGCTGGCGTGGCTTGGTGATCACAGTTAGGGGATGGTATGCGCGGGCGGGGGTACATCCTTTTAGCGCAGACTGGAAAAAAGGGCAAAACTGCCAAGTGGGCCACGCGGTTACAATACATTTGGAAGTACCCACGCACGGAAACGGGGGCAAGGTGGCGCAATGCCATTATACGATTGTAGTATTATAAAAACGGAGCACAGGGCACAGCGTTGTGCGTGCATCAAATAAGGGTGTGAAGAAAAGTGTGTCGTCGCTTGACTAATGAGTTGAAAAAAAAAAAAAAAAAAAAAAGAACCACCTCGTAAAATAGGGTAAAAATGCGCCTTTACAAAATGGCAAAAAAAAAAAAAATGTCTCTGCTAAATGTTCCATTCAAATGGCATCAATGTCTATTTCCTCCTCCTCGTCACCCGTGTAGTTGATGCCGTCTTTGGCATCCAAAAATATTTCGTCCTCATACTTTTCACTCTTGGAGTCTTCAAAAGCCTTATCGTTATCGTTCGCGACTGCATTGTTGACAGCACCGCCATTTTGGGTTCCCTTACTCTTGTCATCATTATTTCGCAGAGACTTAACTTTGAGGCTAGTCATGTTGTTATTCACGGGGTTACTAACTTGGTTGTCTTCCTCCTCGGACTCATCTTCATCAGATTCGTTTTCCTTTAACCAACTAACGAAATGTTTCGCCATACATTTGCATTTATCGTAACACTCGATGTAGTATTTATTTTTCTCGTCCAGGCTATCGGAGCAGTTATTCTTTTCAAGCAAAGCGGTGGACGAGCTACTAACATCATACCTTTTAATAACGTCCTTGCTTTCGAAAATGTCATTGTTGTATAGAACTTGTAAAATATAAGGGTAAATGATAAGTGCGTTCTGAGCGACCTTGTTGACATAATATTCCAGGGCGAGAAAAATGTCCGTAACCGTAACCGAGGTGTCGTTAACCTTCTTAATATACTTAATATATTTTTGTAATAACTCTTTGGTTATCTGATTGTTAAACAATGCACAGAGGCAAATAAAAATTCTACACTTGGAGTCGAAGCTCTGAGATACCTGCAACACACGAAGTTCCTCGCAAAAATCATTTTCACTTATATTCGGGAAGGTCACAAATAGGGTCCTCAAGCGCTCAATAACTTCTTTAATTTCTACACTGTCGAAATGGAGGGATTCTTTTTCTAATACAAAATTGTCTTCTGTTTTATTTTTCTTTTTATCTTTTTTTTTCGATTTTTTATCCTTTTTACTGTTTTCATTATTTGTTGGATTACTTTTATCTGTGTCTAGTCCATCTGAACTATCATAGTCTCCTCCAGACAGTAGCATTCCATTTCTCGTATCTTCATTTTTATCCCCCTTTTCTGTTAATGCTCCCTTTTCACTCTTTCCCTTTCCATTTTTCTCCACCTTTTTATCTTTCGTTTTTTTCTTTTTACTTCCAACGGTACTTATTTGTGGGGGGTTCTTAATCATGTAGGTAGCAATTTTGTGAGAATTATTTAGCTCACCAATATTTCCACATGCATTACACTTACATATTAAAAAACCTTTTTTAACAATGATGTCCGTTTCAGGTAATAAACAATGAGGGCACAGGACATACATTTCGATGAACTTATCTAATATATTTACTAAATCGTTTTCCTTGTGTGCACCATTTACAATTGCCTTCTCTTCATTCTCTTCAAATTTTACCATGGTGCCCAATTCGCATCCAAAAAATTTTGTAGGGTACATGGGAGGTCTCTTCAGCGACCTTGCGATTTCCCCCATGTTCGCAATGTTCGTCCTGATGCCATTTCCTCTTCCCTCAATTTTCGATATCAGCCTTGGCATCTTATACCTGTAATTTGGATCGTTTCGATCCCGCGGGATGTTAATGTACGACATTTTCGCTCTCACGTGCTGCAATTAAAATGACTCCAAGTTCTGTCCTCTTCTCCTCTCTACACTTTTTAAACTTCAATAAGGTGTACGTAAACTGAAATGTTTTGGGTAATGTTTCTCTGGCCGCGCTTATATTTCCTCCCTTTTTAAAGCTGTCCCGATTGGGTATCAAACTGACTTGACCCCTTCACCGAACGTATGTGAAACAAATGGCAGGTGCGTTCGTACGAATATGTACACAAAAAACGTACATGTGCATTCACACAAAAAAAAGCTTTCGTCACAGTGCACCTTTATAGTTAAATAATATTGACAGGCTCTCCCACAACGCAAGGAGTATCCCTTGGGCAGAAACCAATACATACAAGGAGCGAAGGGGAGGATGAACAAGTACACTCATACAAATATAAATGTACATATACACGTATATTCACTTCAACGCGATAGTGCGTCCTCTGAATAGTACGCACGGGTGGATTGACACTCCTAGTGAGGGGGGTACAAACTTATACGCATATAAGTAAATACACTAATGTATCCTCTCACAATACATTGTCCTCCCTAAGGAACGAACAACTAAGATGCATGTCACTAAGCAAGCTGTGCTCTGCACGCTTATGTATTTCATACGTCTAACCGCTAAACATCACACATACAACTCAGATATTTTAACTCCAATGTGCGGGGAGACAAAATGGAGACATTAAAAAAAAAAAACACATGTGCGCATTTGTGTTTTGCGCTCTGGCTTCCCGCTTGTGTGTGTGTACCTATGTATGCACGAATATGTACGTACAGAATGTGCCTCTGTAGGACTGCTAAAGGAGTCCCTTGCAGCTGTTCAAACGAAATGTTATTTTTTTTTCCTATATCATTGTGTGTTGAGGTAAATCTGGAGTTGCTCCTCTATTCTAGACTCCACAACTTGGTTGCAACTTCGCCGCTACTTCGCTGCTACTTTGCCTATGAGCACACTTTTTCACAGGACGGCCAAACGACTGACCCATTCTTATTCGAGCCGTTAACACTGCTCCGCTCCTCAGACGAGTCTGGTGTGTTGCCTAACCTGATGCCTCGTGTCTTCGAATCACTGTTCATTCATCACTACTCATAAGTACTCGCTTTGTGTAGCTTTTTATAAAATATTTGTTGCGCACTATTCGCTGAAACAATTTTATACATTTTACTTCTGTGCGAACACGCCGTGAACAATGGAGACTTCAAACGGGTGTAAAACCACACAGGTACTGTGGACAGCTGGGCACAAAAAAAAAAAAAAAAAAAAAAAAACAAGGGCGAGTTGACGCAAGCACAGATGATGCTGATACGTATATATCTTAAACATTACGGCGTTATATAGACCGCTTACTAGGCCTCTAACTCTACGTCTGCTTCTATACCCATACAAAGCTTCATTATTAACTGTTACACATATATACGGTTCTACTATCAACAACAGTGATGCTGAATTTTGGGTTTATTTTCTTCACAGGCATAATTGAGATATTGGTTCAAGCAGGAGAGGGGGGTAAGGGAAAAAAAAACAAATGTACTTACAATGTACATGTAGGTTTCTATTTACAAAGGTGCAGAAGGGGTCACCAAAAATTTACATACTTCTATATAGAAAACTGAAATTTTAAAATGCGTTACTAAGGACATTAATAAGATAACATTCCGTCACATATGAACATTCTCAAAATGGCTACACAAGAGACGTTTTTTTTTTTTTTTTTTTTTTTTTTAAACTTCTATAAGTGTTGTGTAATTTGTACAGATGGGTGTAATGTGTTCGTTAGTCTGTGCATGTACGTTTCTGCCTTGGTGGATTTTACCAGTACAATTTGGAAGAGGCTGCACTGAGTGTGTCATTTGTCGAGTTCCTAAAGGGATTCTTATGCTTCTCTTGTTTTATATTATTATGATTCGCATATTTCATGTATTTTGTATAACCCAATTTATTTTCACAGTTCGAAGTCCTCATTGACTTTTCTTTACAAGGGTGTACGTTTGTGTTGTCGTGGATGTTAATCATGCCGCTGGTGCGTTTGCCGCTATTGCTGCGTTCGCTGCGATTGATTGGTTTTGTGTCACGTCGTAGCGTTAAACCTTCTGTACACACAAAACATTCACTGATGTGCAAAAAAAAATAAAATAACATAAATAAGGCCCCTCTATGCTCGGACAGAGAATATGCTCTATGTTGATGCAGTCGTGGAGATGCAAACTATGTGGACTCAATATTTGGGTGAACCCCTTTTCCAATTAAGACGCACACAAGTTAGCTTTTTTAAAAAAAAAAAAAACAATTCGTATGTACGTATGTACACGTGTAACAAAAATACTTATACAATCGTAACAGCTTCTTACACCGTGGGGACGGTATACCCAAAGTTGATACCTTTATGTGAGGGCGTGTGTATAGGGGGGTTACTATATATTTACGCTGTTACTTTAGGAACAAAAATATAATGAAGCAAAGAACCAGCTTCGTGGGTTCAATTACGCATGGTACTCAGTTGAGTGGATACATAAATGTACGCCCATAGCGACATATCACCATGTACAAGCATATGTATGTTACATACAGGTTTATATTGTACATACTCAATACAACGTACAAACGTTTACTACGAGTCAGGGTTCGACAATAAAGGCACAGTTAAGCAATTAAGATACTCCAACATGTACCCCTTTTTTTCTTCCCTTCTACTTTTTTTATAACATTTAAATTTCGTTTTATTTGACTTGAACTTAAGTTAAACTTTCCTCTGCCAAAAAAAAAAAAAAATATATGTTTTTTTATTTTTAATATATTTTCATGTTTTGCTTCAGGTGGAAAGAGATTCAATTTTGAATGTTCTTTTAATGTGTTCGTAAATGACTTATATATATATTTCTTATAACATGTACTTGGAAAGTTATACATTTATTTAATAACAAAATTATAACGTTTACGTAAAGCTTTGGTATATTTTATTCATGTATAAATTGTTAATGCGTTTTTTTTTTCTTCTTGTATGGGCAATTTTTTTTTTTTTTATTGTTTTTTTTTGCATGCCTTTTATAGTTTTAAAATAATAATTCGACACTGAATAAACGAGTTCAATATCTGCGCAAGCATTTGTTCGTGCACAAGCATATGGGCTCCTTCTATAGGTACGCATGAAGGAAAGGATCCATCGTACGTACACGAATGTGGCACAAAGGTGTATATTGCTAGGGCGTATACATGTAATTACTCGTTTTTAAACTACGAAAATAATGTTGCGCAAATTATGTTACCAACATTATGTTACGAAATGTATGTTACAAATTGTGTCATGGTTTTTGTTACAATGCGCGGCGCGTGTCATTCGATTAACGCGCGTCCTGTTGCTCCACAACAAGGGGTAAGGAGCTAACGAACACCTGTTTCTTTCTTTTTTTTTGTTTTTTTTTTTTTTTTTGCCGTTAAAAGCTGACTGGACTGACTCACTTTAACAACTCCAACAAAACAAAATTGCCTCTGGTTACTGGAATTAAAATATGTAAAACGAAACTCCAACCGTTCTTATAATACCTATTAAAGGTGAATATTTTAAAAATAAGTTTGGCGGAGTTCAAAGCGGGTCTCTTTATATACATATTTTTAATATATACAATTTATTTTATTTATTTTATTTTTTTTTCTGCTCACTTTGTCAAATGTTACCGTTACAGTTGTGTTTCGTACGACTCGAAATATTAGCCATAAGCATAGCAGGTACAGGTGCGTATACATTACAGGTATGTAATTACGCCTTGTGCCTATGCAGGATTGTATACAACTTGTACACATGTTTATACGACATGTATATATATTTCTTTTTCCATGGTGAAATATATGCGCAGAGCACTCCTGTACGTTCACGCAGCTTTGCGGAGATGCCCCCTTTTGCCTTGTTCAAACAAGTGGTAAATTGAACTGGTCAAAGGGCAAAATTGCCAGGATAGCGAAAATTAAAATAACGCAGAAAAAGATGAAAAATTGGAGAGGCATCAAATGATTACCTAATGTGGGATGGATAATTGGTCTGTTCATGTTAACCGTTACATTGTGTTGCAAGAGTAACACATTTTTTCCTTTTTTTTTTTTTTGTTCTCTCTCCATTTTGTTAAACCTTTTAAAAATTCAGCATCCGACTTCAAGTCTTCACAAAAGACACATTTTTCAATGCGAAAACAATTACGACTTTTATCTTGGTGTGTAGTTGAGGTACCCCGCATCGCTCCTTGGGCGTTTATGTAAAAGGCATGGTATGGGAGCGGGTCATATAAAAGTTTGGCAGGGCGAATAGGTAGGAAAAATGGCTTCCCCCCGTTTGCTTTCTCCACTTTTACACGTTGGTCAGGTGTTTCCCTTTGAGGCAAAGGGGCACAGAAGGGTAAGCTGCGAATAATGAATAGTGAACTTATAAATGTGCAAATGCTCGAAGCATGAAATGGCTAACAAACGTGCTAATGTTACACATATTCAGTTTGCTCATTTTGGGCTTCCTCCTGGGACGCGTTAAAAAAGGCCCACGAAAATATTTTTAACCCTTGGCATGGTAAACACATTTCGTCATAGGAACGATAACCCCCCACATGGTGCTCATACTCTTACGTTGAATGGGGCTTGAAGTGGAAGTAAAGACGATGCCAAATTATTTCTATGCGCATAGTGTACCAACGTAAACAAAGGCATATGCCCCCAGGCAGTGATGTCAGACTTTGGCTTCAGTTACACCCACTGCGCCCCTTTTCCCTTTACCGTGTATTATCACCGTGTAAGTAAAAATGTGTAATCAAGGTATTTTAAAAAATGGCTACACTTTTGGAAAAAATTAAGAGGGTCTCATTGTTATGCGTCACACTGAACTTTCCATTAGCAAAAAAATGTTGCAATATGAGAAAAGAGGGGGAAGAACAAATAGCTTTCATTTGCATTTTTTCACCTGCATTTCTTATTGTTTAATTTTCGAATTTTCGCCCTCGCTCCCCCCAAAACAGCAATGTGAGTGTGCGAATCACGTGCGCGGGGGGTTAACCTAGAACATACACATCAATGTACGTGCATACATTAGCTGAACTCGGTCGCACGGGAAACAGCTATGTGCTATTAGCTCCAACGGAGGTGATAACACCTTCACAGCTAGCACGTGTAATGGCCAATCTTTTTTTTTTTTTTTTTTTTTTTTTTATTTTTCTCCAACCAGAAAGGAGGGAAGAACACCATAATTATAATAACACATACGCGTATTTTACCACGTGTGCTGCGATGTATACACGCTCGAATGAGTATGATTGTGCCCCCCCCCCTTTTTTTTTGAATTATCTTATAATAAATATGTAACATGACAATAAACAAAGAATAAAACGATAATCCACTGCTAAGAACAGTGCGCCACCAGTTCGTGCCCTCCAAAGGTTGATCATCATTTAATTCCCTACACACCCGTGTAACATAAGAGTATAATTGTGCATTGTGGCAAACTTCTGGCACGCTTTCACCGCATCGACGCACCACTCTGTTATGCCCCTCATTCAACTATTCTCGATTGAGCACAAGTGAGGACAACACTTCCGCTCCGCAACGGCCTAACCGGGGAGGCGTGACACACACGTTTTTCATAGCGCCCGCTTCACTCGGCTAAGCGGTGAAGCAGATACAAGGCTAAACAGCCAAAGGGAGAACATTCGCGCCACACATCACCATCGACGGTGTGATCTAGCCCCACGGAGACACAAAATGAAGGAGGAACAGAAACCCATCATAGAGCTGAACGCCATCAAGGGCTACTACAAAAAGACATTCACGAACGAGCTGCTGCTTTCACTGCAGAACGAAATAAAAATAGAAGACCTACTGTACTCATACAACTACTATTCCTATTTACTGACCGAAGATAACAAATTTGACAATAAGGAGGTGGGGTGTGAATACCTGAAGAGTGAAGACGAACTGGAGGAGTCGCCACCCAGCGGTGGGAACAACAGATATAAAGTAAGAACAGAACATTCGAACGACGATATCATCAATTACTTCGACCCAACTGTAAGTGAAGCATCGTATGAAGAAAAAATCGAACAAACATTCGATTATTTGGATAATTTTTTAAAAGCATTTTATGTTCCAAATGATATGAACAAGTCAGGAGACATGGAAATAATAAATGACATGTTGAAAAACTTAGTAATAGAAAAAGTAAATAATGACGAATATAAAATCTTCGACATGCAATGTGAAAAATCACAGATATATGAAATTACGTTAATCATCATTGCGTACATTATTAGGAATATTTTCAGCTTAAGTCTGGGAAGGAAAATTATATTTTCCAACGAAAAAATGAACAGTCTGTTGTTAAGAGCATTGTATAAGCAAAATATATACATACAAATATTCACCTTGAAAAATTTAAAAAAATATATCATGGAAGATGGAGAATGTTTACAGGATATTCACTTAAAAATGATTAAAATCTGCATCTTCAGTAAATCTCTTTGTTCATTCAATCGCTCCAACGAACTGGTAAAACTTTTAGTGAAAGAAAATAAACATGTGAGTGAAATTTTCGATTTACATTTTTTAAAAAAACTTAAAAAGTCTTTGGAACATTCGGACAATGTGCAACGCTTACGATGGCTTGATCTCATTGCAGAGTGTGCAAATATAAACAGCCAACAAATTTGCGACATTTTTCAAACGAAGAAGAAAAAAAAAATAGACATCACGCAGGAGAGTGCTGAACAAGATGGGGATATGTCCTGCCAGGGGGAAGATGAAGAAACACACATGGGTGATGTTGTACCACCCGATACGACCGACACATATGATATCGATGTCAATTTGGAAAACTTCACCTATGATAGCGAGTACGAAGAAGGGAAATGCACCTTTGATGATATATCCTTTGTAAGTAAGAATGTAGTAGAGGAAGAAATGAAAAAGCATAATGTACAATTAAGTCAAATATGCAAAATGATAAAAATTAATGTATATAAATACTTATATATGATGTACCAAAAGGATGATTTACTGTTGAAAATAAATGTGCTTGAAATTTTCTCGAAATTTGTTCAAAACGAATACTACAGTGATAGCATTCTGCACAATTGCTATTTTCTGCACACCGTGTTGAAGGATTTGCAGAATCTCGACGACGAAATTCTTCCCCTTAGTATTCTCAACTCGCTCATTTGTTACGCAAAAATAAGTGAACCTCTTCTTCATTTTATAACCACAACACATGATAATATTCTCATGAAGACAATCATTTACTATCTGACGCACGATTCCACCTTCCAAGGGGGTAATGCCAATATAGAAAAGTTAATGGTCGGTATAAAATCCTTTGGTTATTTTTTTTCATTGAAGGAGTCTAGTAAAGCTCTCATAAGTTTGGACTCGAGTGCACCCCTTATCGTAATTAATAACATAAGCACACACTCGCACATGAATATTTTGAAACACGCAATAAACGTATGGGTAAAAATTTTACCAGCCGAATGCATGGGTGCTGAATGGAACAAACAACTCATTCATGATGTGCTCTTCCAAAAGGCTATCACAATATTAAAAGAAATCGATGACGAACAAGTTCAGATAAATACATATGAATTGCTTCGGGCCATGATCCCCTACAGCATTGCAGATTTTATCATACAAGAGCAGTGGCTCATTAGGACACTCAAAAGCAGCTTTGGAAACAACAGCTACGAGCTGAAGATGAATAGATACAATTTTTTTAAAGAACTCTACGAACTTAATAAAATTATCATAACGAATGATGCCTTCGCGGATAACCTCATGAGCAATTACTTGGAGAAGGTGCCCAAGAGGTATTAGCCCCCCTCCTTACCCTCGCGTTCCCAATTTTTTTAAATTAGCATATCAAAAAATGAGAACATAAAAATTTTTTAAGTTTACACCCCCTCTTAGTGTACATCTATGCAGATGAAGAGAAAAAAAAAAAAAAAAAACTGAACAGTTAAATATTCGTCAAATGTTATCCCATTTTTGTTATCCCTGTACAAAAGTGTCTATTTTTTTTTTTTTTTTTTTTTTTTTTTTTTTCTCAACCCTACCGCCATTTTTTAAACACCCCATTGGGTGACCTCCAACTTTACCAAACGAAAAAACTACGCTGCGCAAAATAGCGCATTTAAAACATTGTGCTGAGTGCAGCAGGAGTTGTCACTTAAAGGATTCGCTCCCTTTATGCATGATCCACGTACTGGTAAAAAAAAACAAAAAACGTCCATATGCTGAAACGTGCACGTATGGATCTGCCTCACCAGTGCCCGTTCCAGTTTGGCCCAAACTAGCGATACAGTATCCACAGGCACAGTTGAAAGGACACCCATTAATCACCCAAAAGGGCCATGCAAACTGGGGGGCCAGGGGAGGTGAATCCACAAGAATATGACTTAGCCACATTATCCAACAGTGCACGATTAAGACAGGAGAAAATGTCTTTGGAGTTCGTTTCGGATCAGACCCTTCAGATAAAATGCTCCTACCTGATAGAAAAATATAAAAAGAAGCTGCAAAAGGTGAAGCAGCTTAAGAGGGTAAGGAATGAAAAGAGGGGAGAAAAAAGTGAAAATGACTGTATTCCCCGATGAAAGAACGTGACGCATGTCCACTTGAACCCACCCGCAGGAGCTCCAGGCGTCGCTCGAGAAAAAGAGGAAAGAGATCTACATGGATAGATATTTTCTAAATGTACGAAAGGCAACTGCATCTCATTTACCTTTCAAATGGAAGGAGTGGAAATGCTAATGCGAGAAGAGCTGTCTAGTAAAGAAAATCTGTGCAAGTGTACCTGCACATTTGATTCAATTGTGTACATGTATGCTGTATGTCTCGCCTGGTTATGCCCCCTTTTTGTAGAAAGAAAGAGAGCACTTGTACAGCGAACTGGAGAAAGAGAAAGAAAAAATCGAAATGGAACATCTTGAAAAAACCAAGCAACTATACAATAGCTACTTTGCAGATATATTTTTGTATGAACAGGAATATTACCAGTGCATCTATAAAGTCTTCAAAAATTTGCTACTCAAGAAGGAAGAAATTGACGACAAGGAGAGGCGCGTTCTTATGTTGCAGGTAAACAGTGCTGAGGGGGTGGACCATTTTAAGAAAAAAAGAAATATCGGACTTGTGACCTGTTCATTTTCTCCATGTAACAGCTCGTCATTTTGTGTAATTTTTTTTTTCTTCTTTCCAAGGAACACGCCCGGATGACCAATTCAGACAGGAACGTAAGCGAAAAGGTACGCGAAGAGATAAGGAAAAAGGAAATCGTAGCTGTCCACGAACAAAATGGACGTGCTGACAGAGCCCCGATCAACCATCCTGAAAAAATGGACCATGACCAGGACGACAAACATATCGATATAGACAATTTATGCGATTTGAACATTAACGAAATTTATCGGAGCATCATACTGGACCAAGGAGAACGTCCACACAACTTAAGCAGCACAGGGGATGAATTCTCTAATGCCATTATGGGGAAAATTCACGTGGGGACTAACTCTACCCCCGTCTTGGATGAAGTATACCAATGTGGTAGTGGAAAGTGTAGCAGTGTGTCTATAACGGAAAAAAGTGATCATGAGGAGGAAGGAATGGAGAAAATTGGCACGTGTAAGGAGTACCAATTTGTGGAACTCAGTTCACATGGACAAAGGCATGTCTACACGGAAGAAATACGTAACAACACAGTCGCACGAGAAGATAATTGTGTGCATGACGAGGCGACCCAGAGTGAAGAAGATAAGGAGAATGCTGTGTCCAAATCGGGAGGAACAGAACAATGCGGGGACATGAGCGAAGAGGGAGGAGTAGAATCGGGTGGAAGCGTCCAATTTGCTGACGAGGAGGAAGAAATAAAATGCCTAGAAAATGAAAAAATATTTATAGGGGAACAAGATGACCCAAATGAGTACCACCCAAACAGTAATGATGCTTACATAGCTGGTGAATATTTAAAAGGTGAGGAATGTATGGGCGACGAAGAAGTGGATGAACAGTATCGACGCAGCGCAATCGATATTACTGCGCTGAGCGAAACAGTTAAAGAGGAAGTACAAAATGATGACCTTTTTGAAAACAGAGAGTTGGCAAATCCGCAAAAGGATATTGCAGAACTGGACCAAGTGATAGAAAATAACATCAACTTTAATATATCGAGTTACTTTAGTGGAAGCTACGATGACATTGCTGATTGTGAGGTGTTAGAGAGGATCGACGGAGAGGTGGTTGCACTGAACGATGATGGAGCTCATGCCGATGACAAACCGGAATATGACATGATCAAAGAGCTCGTCTCGGATGTAAATTCGAAAGAGCTGGTGGACTTATCTGAAAACAACCACGATAAAAAAGGGGACACACAAAAGGGGGAAATTTGCATAGTAGGGGATCCCACCAAGCAAAAGAATCTAAACGAACAAATCGACCTCGAACTGCACACGAACCAAACCAGTGCAATAAAAAACGAGGAAGACCATCCCCAAGGAAACAACCCATTGTCCTCCTTCAATGAGCACATTAACAACTTCTACAATGAGTATGAACACATGAGAAGGTTCAATGAGGAAAACAAAAACATTCAGTCATCCATTTTTAAGACACTGTATAGCTACCACAACGAGTATTCCATTCCGATAGAAAAGATGCAAACGTTTGAGAATTACGTGGAGGAAATTGGCCAGCTGGAGAATTATGAGCATATCATCAGCTTCATCAACGGAGGGGCTGAGGAGAAGGCAATTGCTGATTGTGATGATGACCCGAATGGCAGCTATCATGTTATATCGAAGAAACCAGTAGACATGAAGGTGAACTCCAATTTGGGCATGCACACAGTTAAAGAACTAATAAATTACGTGAGTGCAAGTGCTAAGGGAAATGATAATGATAAAAACGGATTCAAAAAAAAGAAACAGAGAGAGTGAAACGGGGCTTCAATAAGTGTAAAGAGAACGTCGCCCTCTTTTATTGTCTCCCTCTACACATATTTTTATATGCACATTTGTGCACATGTACCCAACAGGGGGGGAAAAAAAAGGCATGCTTATAATGTGCATACCTGTTTTTAGCCGAGTGGTCGTTCCGCTTCCCTCGAGAAAATGACTCCACGAGACATGCCCTACGCTGGGTTAACCTCCTAAACGTTGTGTCCAGGTGCCGACAAAAATGTAAATTTTTTGGTGCACTGAAAAAAGTGTGCTTCTCGAGATGGAGAAAACCAAAACTGAGGACAGCGCCAAAAGGAAGTTCCCCCACTTGTGCCTTCCCGCTGCTCCAAGGACACGTCTAAAATGTCAGCCAATCTTCATACACATCCTTTCTTTGTCTTAAAAATTGCACACATAAGGGAACGCCATTATTAAAAAGGAGCATACACATACTTCATAAGTTTGGAAGTTATTAATTTAATAAAAAAAAAAAAAAGAAAGAACATGGAAAAAAAGGAGAGTAGAGCGCAGGGAGAACACATTCATAGGACCAAAACGCAAAATTGGGACACCTAAAAAAAGTAAAACCTAAAAATATAAAAACAAATATTTTTATCACTTAAAAAAGGTGCTACTGTATGCACGCCTAAACTTTTTTTTTTTTTTACGTAGACTCTCTGCTTCAAAAAATGGGACTTCTGCAGAGGCACGCTCGGGCTGCTCATTCGTGCAGGCTTTAAATGCCTCGTTACGAATGTGCAGTATATTCCATGCAGATTGTTGGCACGTTGGGTCATTGGGAAACATGTGAATGCACACATATATATATGTGAATAGACGGCTGGCCATTTCCTCCAATATTTATAACCCTATTTTCATTCCCTCGGTACCGCTTCCAGCAACTCTCACGATGCGGCCCCTTAGCACTTCTCGTCGGAACGTTTTGCTCACTTCTTTTTATTCTTGCTCATCAAGATGGACTTGTTCAGCAGAGTTTTGTCGAGCTGCTCGATTATGCTATTTCCGCCACTACCCGCGGTGCCAAGCTCGCGTCCATTCTGCATGCCCTTCATGAATCCCTTTATGCCCACCGGGTTGGCGTTCTTGTTCGCATTATTGCTCGCGCTTTTGTGCACGTTCCTATTTGGGCTTGGGTTCACTAAACAGGCCTTGCTGCCCCCCCTGCCGTCACCCTTGCTGGCGTGCTTACCCATGCCGCCTTCCCGACCAGTAGGGTTCCCCGCCTGATCGAGATGTTTACCACTTTTATCATAACACGGGTGCTTCTGCTCATTTGTTTTTAAAACAAAATTATCTTCGTAGAATTCCTGTTTCTTGTTTCTCATTTTCCGCGTCATGTCATTCCTGTACCTTGGGGGTGCATTCTGGTCGTTATCATAATAGATATTACTACTGTTGTTTCTCGTCTTGAGGTTGCTTTCCTTCCCTTGGGCGATGGAATTTGAATTCAACCTTCTACAATTTTCTTCATTTGAGGCAAAGTTATTACCCCTCAGCACGTTACTATCACTGTTATACCCGTTGTCTTGCACCATCTTAATGTTGGTTTTCTTTTGGGGGGCCGTCTGCAAGGAGCGATTGCTAGTACCGTAACCGGTACGGTTGTGTGCGCCACCTCCATACTCGTGGTTGTAGTCCTCCTCGTACGCACCACCCCCGCTTGGCTTCCCCACATGTTTATAATCATACGAATCATTCATATTTCTACTGTTTAATGACCTTTCCATGTTATGATAAAAATCTTCGTTTTCCTTTTCAGCGACCCCCTTGCCAGCATTGCCGTAGTAGTGGTCAGAATTTATGTCTTCTAGAAATTCGTTAAAACTGCTCTCCTTTTTTATCGTGTCATTTTCTTCATTGTTGTAGTTGAAGAAGTTCTCCCGATTGTCTCGTATGTCCGTGTGATCCATGTTACCTTTGTTGTCTTTATTTTTTTCCTGATTGATGATTCTACAATTATCTTTCTGCTTGTTCAGTGGCGCCTTCATCGTCTTCCCACTCTGCATTAAATTGGACATGTGGTTTATAGACTGCATATTTCTGTTCACGAGTTTGTCTATCTGGTTGAGGGGGACTAAATTTTTCCCACTCCCATTCGCATCCCCATTTCTGCTTCTGTTTTTGTTCATCTGGTCATTGCCTTTTCCTTTTTGCGCGCCCATCCCTGCGTCTCCTTTGGGAGGGAACCCCCTCGATATATCCTCGCCCCCATGCACATGGCTGTTAATTTTATGCAGATTGTCATTTATGTTATTTATGTTGCTGTTTATGTGCTCGACGTCATCGTTAATGGTGCTAATATTTTTATTAATCGTATCAATTCGCTGGACGTTCTGCTTGGGTTGTTTGATCTCCGAATAATCTCCATAGCCCTTTCCCCCCTGGTGCATCTGTTCCTCCTCCTGCTGCTCCTCCTGATGATGATGATGCATTTGATGCTGCTGCCCCATCATCACGTTCATGTCTCTTTGCTCATAATTGGTCAGGAGAAAATCTCCATCGTACTTACTATTCTGCTTAGATGAAAAATTACCGTAGTTGCTTTTTACATCTATCAAATCGGATTCTATTAAATTATTGACGTTGAGTGACGCCAGCATGTTTTCACCATGCTCTTGGAGTCGGTGCTCCTTGAAATTCATCCTCGAGGTATTCTTCGTGTTTGAAGCGTACGTCAGGTTGCTGTTTCCCATCTTGATGTTCGTGCTCAGGTTGTTAATGTTGTAGCTGTTGTGATTGTCACGCTTGTCGCGTTGAGCGTGGCCGTCGATGAAGACGCCTTCATTGGGTGGGGAGGCGGATTTATTCCCACTCGCGTAGGCGCCATGCTGTCTCTCGTATCTGCCATCCTCCACAATCTCACCCCCTTCCCCTGCATAGCCGTAATTGTAATTACCTTTCACCGCCACGCTGTTGCCGTTTCTCCCCTCCATCTCCCCCGAGTCCATTTTATAATGTCTATTGCTTGGGCCACCAAAATAGTCCTTATCCACATCCCCATTCTCTTTGTAATTTTCTACGTATTCATTTGTCAAATCTTCAGCCACATGGCCAACCATCTCACTGCTGTTCACTACTGGGTGGTTGTCATTCATTGCGAAATTACTCACTTGATGGAAGGGGTCCTTTTCAAAGTTGCTTCTCGATTTAGTACCGGCGTTGCCAATCATGGTGGCGCTACCTGTATGCTTGCTCTTACTGGAGTTGTTCTCCAGGTAGTGTACCCCGTCGGAGGGTAGAGAATAATCGGCCGTATTTTTCCCACCATAGGTAGACATGTTAACACCCCCCTTCTCATTCATATGATTGTACGAATTGTCTACCTGCGTTGCACTACTGTCATAGGTGTCCATCCTATTTGACCCCCCTGTCTTCCCCTCCTTCCCTGCTGTATTGATCCTCATATCACTGTTGCTTACTCGATCGATGGGGTGAAAAGGCTCCGACAAGCCCAAACTATTATTTCCATTTTTATACTTGAGAAAAGGCTTATTTTTGAAGTTCTCGTTTATCATGCTGTCAATATATTGAATGCTATTATTAATTTCGAGATTGTTGTAATTAAAGTTGATGCTTTTTTTTCTGTTTTTCCTTCGGATTAGGTCTAGTCTATTTTTGCCAATAATTTTTACCTTGACTTTGTTCTTGGAGTTACTTGCCCTGGACAAATTGGAGCTGAGTTTCCTGTTTTCTAAATTCTTCAGAGATATTATTGCCCCCTTTGCATTTTTACTTCGACAATTCTGTAACTTATTCAACAGGTTAATCTCGTTTTCCTTTTCCTTGAGTGACTTTTCTTTATTTTTCAATTGTTCATGTAAGAGTTTTAACTGCTCTTGTATAAATTCTGTGTCCTTATCGTGCTTCTCCTTCATGAGCAAGAACTGCTTTTTCTCCGCTTCCAGACTGTTTCTATCAATCTGAATGACTGTCTGCTCGTCAATAAGCTCCTTTTCTCTCTTCTCAATCATTTGAAATTGTACCTCCTTTTGTTTCAAACTATTTTTATAATTCACTAACTGGTCTTTAACCATTTGTAATTCGTTTTTCTTTTCCTTTAATTTTTTTTCTCTTCCTTGTAGCTTACCACTATACTCCTTCAAGTCGCTATCAAATTCGTTTAGCTTTTCCTTCTTCTTATGGAGTTCGTCTTCGTTTTTTTTCTGTTCCTTTTCTTTTTCAATAAGGTTGATTTCTTTCGTTTTTAAGTCCTTGTCATAATTTAGCAGTTCTTCTTTGTTCTTTTTAATTTTTTCTAATTGCTCATCGAATATTTTTCGAGACTCCTCCACCTGTAGTTTGTCATTATGTAAACTTTGTTCCCTTTCGTCCAGGTCAAATCTTCTCTTTTCCATTTCTTCCTTCTCCTTTTCCATGTTTTCCTTTTCCTTGTTCAGATCTTCCTGTTGTTGTGATAAATTTATTATTCTAATTTTTATGTCGTTTTCTTCTTTTTCCTTGAAGTTTTTATAATTTTTCAGCTCAATTTCGATTTGCTCCTTTTCCACTTGTAAATTTTCCTTTTCCAGATTTAACTTTTCTTGTTGTACGTACAGCTTTTCTTTTTCTTCCTCGATGTCAACGTAGACCCTTTTTTTGAAATTCTCTAACTCTTCCTGCTCTTTCATTATGAGGTACTTCATTTTGCTTTTCTCTTCATCCAGCAGTTCGTACTTTTTCTGTATACCCTCTTCGTACTTCTCACACTTTGAACGGAATTCCTCTTCATATATCTTTTTCTGTTGCTCGAAGGAATCTCTATCTTTGAGGATTTTTTTTCTCTCATTTGCAATTTCGTTTTGCAGTTTGTTGGCTTGTTCTTTGTATTTTTTTTCCAGTGCTAATTTTTCATGTTCTAAATTTTCCTTACACTTCTGTTCTATATAAACCTTAAACTTGTCCTTATCCTCTTCCATGCTTTTTACCATAGCTCTCCTTTCATTTTCGACTTCCTCCCTCATCCTTTTGTTTTCCTTTTCCACATTATCCAACATAGTATTCTTCGTTCTTTCCATGTCTTCCATCATGATCATTTTCATTTTGTCCACATCTGCTACCATCAGCATTCTTTCCTTGTTCAGTTCCTCCATCATGTAAGTTCTTTCATTTTCCTTTTCCATGTCCAGGTGTTTTTTTTCATTTTCCAACTGGTCCATCATTTTAATTCTCTCATTTTCTAATTCCTTTTTGCTTTTGTTAACTTCATCAATTAAGTCGTTATACTTGTCGATTCTACTTTTCAATTCATTTTCCTTGATGAGATTACTTCGTTCATTTCTCCTCAGCTCCTCTTCCTTATTTTGCAAATTACTGTATTCACATTCGATTATTTTTTTCTTTTCTTTTTCGAGCGAGTCCAATTCCTTCTTCAGCATCTCCAGCTCGTTTTTCTCCTTCATGTTGAGCATTTTTTCCTCTTCCAATTCTTTTTTATCATTACATAACATTTTTTCCTTTCTCTCTATATTTTTCCTTTCATTTTCAATTTCCTTTTCCCTCTCTTCCATTTCTTTAATTTTTTTGTTGAACAGACCAAACTTCTCATCATATTCATACAGTTTGCTCTTACACTTATTTTCGATGGTGATGCATTCGTTCATTTTTTCTAACAACTCTCTCTGTGCATTGTCATATTTGTTCTTTATCGAGTTGATATATTTTTCCTTCTCCTCAATTTCATTTTTTTTTTTATCAATACTTAATTCCTTTTCCTTCATTTGGGAATGTATCTTATCTATTTCCTTTTCCTTCTCCGCTAACATTTCTACTTTTTTTTCAAAATTGTCTTTTTTTTTTTTAAAAAGATTTTTTTCCGTTTCGAGCATTTGTCTCCCCTCTTCCATGTGTAGCTGCAGTCGAGCCATTTGCTTACTTGCCTGACACACACACACGATATTTTTAATGTCGTTTTTTTTTTTTATATTCTTATCAAATGAAAACAAATCCTCGTAGTTACTGATTAGCGGCTGCATTTTATTCTTTTCATTTGTCACACACACGTTGTAGTTTTCGTTCCTCCCCTCTTCATACGTTTCTTTCTTGTTCAAATAATTCGCCCCCCCTTTATCATTGTTGTGACTGATAATGTTCATGTGTTTTTTCCTCAATTCATTCAGGTCGAGGTTTCTCAGGCCACCCAACTCATGACTGCCCTTCTGGTTAGGGGCATTACTGGCGCTACGCAACGCTTCGCCGTGAATGTGATTTCCATCTATTACACTTCCTTGCGTATCGGCGTTATTACCATTCATGTGGACCACGCCATGTGGACTTAACTGTACTGCATCATAGGTGGGCTTGGCGCTGGGGTCATTTCCCCCTGCGTCGACTGGGACATTCCTCGACAAAAGGCCATTACTCCCTTTGGCGTGTTTTAACTGCATATATTTTTCGTAACCTGAAATAGTACCCGACTCCCTGTCGTGGTAGTAGGTCACTTTGGCTTGCGTGTCATCAGCGTAATTTAGATAATTACTAACTCGGTCCACATCATGTCGCCCTAGATTCACGTTCGTCGAGTTCGAACGTCTGTGATGCGGATTCTTATAATCCATGTGCAAACCATTTTTACCATTGTAAAAGGTATTATCTGCATAAGGCATCCTCCCGCTGTTCAATCTTGCATTGGATCTGCTCCTCTCTTCCTCGATATTTTTGTTAATGTTCATCAAATTTTCTAAAATTTTTTGCTTCCTACTACTCATGCCGCTCTCATTGGTGGCTGCCTTATGTCTAGTGTCGCTGTTGTAATTATACCTGTTGATAATTTCGGACTCCCTTTCGACGGAGCTTTTCTTCTCGCCTGGGAAATTCTCTTCCCTAGCGGGTCTGTTACTCATGGTGTGATTCGTTACTTTGTTCAGGGCGCCGTTAGGGGGTGAGGAGCTCCCCGCCGCGTGGTTCAGGAAATTCCCTCTCAAGTCACTCTTCGATCCAGTGTCGCCATACAGAACGACATTATTGGAGTACATTTCCCCATGATCCTTCTTCGTCTTGCTGCTTGTTCTGTCCTTCATGTCGTGAGCATGATTTGGAAAATCCCTTTCGTAAAGAAAATTATTTTTATATTTTTCCTGCAATTCACTTAGCTTATTTGATTCGTTATAAGCAGACAAATTGTTATTCAACTTTTCTATATCATTATTATATAAAATATTTAGGTCCACTTTGTTAGAATTGCTATGCTTTGGAATTTCCATCGGTGCTGAAGTGCACGTAATATTATTTTTAAATGTAATGTCTTGATTGTTACCGAGATTGTCTTTGTATGTTCTGTTGCTGTAGGGGAAGTTGAAGTTAGCTTCGTTATTGTCTTCATTGTTTCTTTTATTGTCTTCATTTCTGAGAAACATGTTGTTCATTTTTGCTCCCTTCAAATGGTCCATGTAGTCTCCATCATGTATATTATCCTTGTACATGTCGTAATTATTCATCGTGCCGTCTTCTTTTTTTATATCTTCACAGCTGTCCAAAACTGCATTGTCGTTATCTTTTTCTTTCGCGTCCTGCACGGTATGAAGGAAAGTTTTCTCTATGTAGCGTCTCGCACGGGGGATGTTCCCCGGGGGGCGGTGCGCACAGCGGCGTGTGCACTAAGACGATTCAAAAAGGTACGCCGCGATACCTCTCAACATGTACACTGCGACACGGCTCAACACCATCCTGTCATGCAAAGCCACTTACCACTCCTGAAATTTTGTGAATATTTTCGGAGCCCTGCCTACTGTGCGTGTGCTCTACAAAAAGAGGGAAATGAAAAGTGGTGTGCATAACGCGGGGTAACTCTGGGAAAATTCCCCTATGCATATAATGTCTATCCAAATTGTTCGTACAGATAGCTCACATGCAAGTGGTATGTGCAGAAAAAAAAAAAAAAAAAACTTTTTTTCAGTTGCCTACTTTTGTTAGATCTGTACAGTGGCTCGTACATGTCCAAGTCCACATGCCTATTTGTGTTTATCTCTCTAAGTGCATAAAACTTTCTCTTTGAACTAACAGCGTCACTGTAGTTCCTGTTGGAGGAACTGTAAATGAGTGGCTTATTATGAAGCTTGCTACGGTCATTTTTAACATTATAATAGTTGTTCCTTTTCGCATTATCTACTAGAAGGCGACCTCTATTTATTGCATGGGAGCTATTCCTGTCGAACAGGATGCGTTTGATTTCGGACGTGTCATTGTTGTTTGACTCTTGCCTAATTATCCCATTCGAATTACCACTTTTCGTAAATAAATTTTTGTACTTATCGATAAAATTTGTTCCATTATGCATAGAGCCCTTTTTAGCGCCGTTAACATGTTTGCTACTTACGTATGAGTGGTGACTGCTGACTTTTTCTTTATTCGTCTGGTCCTTTTCTTCCGCTCCCGCTATCTCTTCCTGCTCGTTTCCTCGTGCTCTTTCCGTGTCCGCCTCTGCTTCCGCTTCCGTTTCTGCGTGGGTGTCTCTTCCCCTTTCTCCCCTTTGTCTTCCCACGAGATCGTTATCTCTGCTGGCGTAATTTAAAAGGTTGTCATTTCTGTACTTATTTTTTATTGTCTCAATAGCTTTGTTACTGTTGCCTATTAAATTTTGCGCCATTCTTGGTTAAGTTACTTGCATACACATCAGTACTCCTGCTACACGTTTTCATTATATTTGCTGTCTTACTTTGTCAGTTTAAGGGCCGTGATGTGGCCAAATGCATAATCTTGCCCTTTTAACCAGGGCGTGGACAAAAGGAAAAAAAAAAAAAAAAGGGGGGGGGGAACAGAGACGGAGAATTGCAAAGAAGATGGCGAAATACGATTCCGTGTCCTATTGACGGTGATCGTTTTTCTCCTTCTTTTGCTTATAACTACGTCATGCTTCTAATATAACGCATTCCAACTTGGGAAAATGCGAAAAAAAAAAAAAGGCATAATAGCACGCAAAAGAGCACACGTGCAAACAGCTAAATCATGTAAACTATTTTTAAAACGTAAAATAACTTGTATGCCTTTTATTAAAAAAAAAAAAAGGTGGTAAAACTGAAAACAACTTTTGCGCACATCAATTATTTTCATTTAAAAAGTTTGTTAAACATGTAAAAGGTGAAAATACAGCAAATTTATGCGCAATAAATGTGTTTAAAAAAAAAAAAAAAAGATGGAAAAGAAAGAGAATAAAAAATGTGGTTGTGTAAATTGCTACGTTAGAACTGAATTTTAACGAATTTTCAAAATAACGCATATGCAACCATGTTTGGTAGTTATTCACCTCAAGCGATTTACATTCCTGCGTTTTTAATGCTGATTTTGCATTTCGCCCGCAGTTGCAATTTCGCTTACAGTCTCACAGTCACAGTACCACTCTTAGTTCCTACTTGGATTTTTTAACTCCTTACACATAGTTGAGCAATTTAAAAGAAAAAAGGAAAAAGAGAAGTCTATACGTGTAAAATAGCGGTGAAGAAAAACTATGTGCATAAGTAACCATCTGTTGGGTGTATTTGCCCGAACTGGTCACACATGCACAATTGCGTATGGATCTGCATACACGCAATGCCACACGCGCGTAGCTGTACGCTTTGAAAAATATATGTAAGCATACACATGTAGCCCTCGCGCGTGGGTGTGCGCATAAGTACGCATTTATACATGCAGTGACTGCTGAAAGTTCCCTTTACACCCTTAATGGAGAAAATAAACAGGGTGGAAAAAAAAAAAAGAAAGTGGGAACATAAATCAATCGAAGAATTAATAAAACTTGCATCACTCACTTTTGAACGTATTCATTATCCCCAAATGGATGAATAATCATGCTCCGATTTAAAACTCCACTTTTGCATTTTTTTTTTTACGTGTATATTTAGGTAGCTTTTTTTTTTTTTTTTTTTTTTTTTCCATGTCTGGAAAGGGAAAATTATTAAAATAAAAAAAAAAAATTCATTTCTACATGCACAGTAAAGGTAAAAAAAAAAAAAAAAAGGAAAATATGCAGAACCGTCTGTTACGGTTTGCAATGTGTAAAAAAAAAAAAAAAAAAAGGAAAATGTGCACAATGTGAAATAAAAAAAAAAAAAAAAAAAAAAAAAGCTGTAAAGGAACAACTTCACGGTGTGTAGAAGTATCAAAAAAAAAATTATTCCATCACTTCTATAGAAATAACAAAGCATCACACACAACATATTACGTTTGTTCGTTCTTTTACGTAACTACCTGCGGCTTTTTCGCTGCACTTTTGAACTTTCTCCGCGGTTTCGCTCATATGTAGAGACCAAGCTTTGTTGTCTTCTACGTTTGTGCATATTTGTTGTAACACGAATAAGCACTCTGCTGATCGAAGAAAAAGGGGAAATTTGATGTTCATTTTTAATTCCTCTTCCTCCAGCTTTTCATTCGCCCATGTGCCTTTAACCATTGATACGTCAAAAAATTCTCTTGGCTTTAAATCGGTCACGTAAATGAACTATGAGCGAAAATGTCTCTATGGGCTGATGAGCTTAACGCCAACTTTTGTGGAAGCACTCCTTATCAACAACATCGATGCGTTCGTGTTATACTTATTTTATTTTTTTTTTTTTATGAACACGCAAAGGAGAGCGTTTTTTATCCCTTTCATATGAAAAAGAAAAGAAAAAGAAAATTCACCTGTACACACACATCGATCATCAAAGGGGGACAAACCATTGCGCACAGAGCGAAATGAACCATGGTGAGCACCTCAAATGGATCGTCCTATTTATGAGCGCACTTGCAAAGAACAGTTCGCGGGCTCTTCCCACGAAGATTGCAACGCACAGCGCATTTTACAATAACACCATTGGTCCTTTCTCTGCGGTATGTTCCACATAGGACTAATTGTATGCAAAGTAGAGTTGCTTATGACTAGCGAATTATGGAACAAATTGAAAATTAGCAAATTGGACCAGGTTGGGTCAGGGGGAAAATAATAAAGTTTGGCGCGAACGTGTAATTGGGCGTAATGGAGGCGTAATTAACTGCATAGTGGAGGGTGCCACTCAGTGCATGCCCAGCAGCATAACTACGCGCGTGCTCACTTGCACGCAATAAATAAACATTTGAAATTTGCACAGAAAACAGGGGAAAAAAAAAAGGCTTAGAGAAATACACGCATCAAATGCAACAACATCTGCGCAAAAAACATGTAGGCATTTTATCTTTTTTTTGCACAAATGGGCGTTGTGGAGGGAAAAGAGAAAAAACCTTACACAGGGGGGAGTAATAAATGGTAGGCCAAAATATACACATATACTCGCTTGTGCACATATACGTGCATGAAGACGAAACAAAGGCTGGCTTAACCGCTCAGCCACGCACCAACGAACGTTGCGCTTGCACACTTTTTAACATTTTCGCACGAGCACCCTCTACTTAATTTGTGTAGCTTATATATGCTAGGACGGCTCCCACAGGATAATCCTGTTTATAACTTCTTCTTCTGAAGTATTTCTTCATTAAATTTGGTCTTCTTAAAGTTCGGGTTCGTGATATCCAAATTAAAATCTTTATTTTTGTACAAGTCAGCAAATCTGCTATCAATTAGGTGGCCATCATTTACTTTTTCTAGCAGGTTTTCTCCGTGGCTTTTAAACATGACATCTTTTTTCCTTTTGTTTGTTTTTTTCGTTATGATTTTTTTTATTTCTTCATCTTTCTTTTTCAGGGACTCCAAATAGGCCTTTTTCTTTAATTTCTTTTTCTGTCTCACCCTATCTAGGTACTTTTCCCACGGATTTTTCTTTTCTTCCTTTTGGTCCTTATTTTTTAGCATGTTTTTGAAAACTTGTACGACTTCGTTTTCGTTGTCGCTGTCGTCCGCGTCCTCCGCCTCCTTCGCATTGAGAATGGCAGCGGCGCTTCCTTTCGCTTTATGTTTATTTTTTTCAGCACCTTTTTGATGGTAACTTTGAACTAACTCGTTCGTGATACTTCCACCTGCCTTCTTATTCGAGGCAAAAATTCCCTCTTTCGACAAATTGATAACTCCCTCCCTGTCTGCAAAGTCTTCTTCCATTTCGTCCATGTACATGGAGAAGTTCATTTTGCTAATGTCGTCTCCACGTGTACCTTTGCCACCAGTTTTGGCTACTCCCCAATTGAGTTCTTCCTTTTGAGGACTCTGTGTGTCATCTTCATTTAACCAATCTCCAAGGAGCAGCTTTCTATAATCTTCCCTGTTGTATTTTTCCCTTTTGTTAAGTTGTGAGTTATCCTGGTTGCGATTTCGCCCGTCCTCCTTCTCTTCTTCCTCCTCTTCCGCATCGCTGGATGAAGAATTAGCTAGATATTCCTTCAGGTCCAGTTCTCTTAACTTTTCTTCACTAAACCTCGTGGACAGAAGTTTTTTCCTCTTGGGATTTTCATCCCATGTTGACTTGGCATGCGTATGTTTTAGAGGTGTGCTCACGCTATAATGGAATTGATAATTATCAGGTATCTTATTGCATGTCTCTTTTACCTTATAATCATCAAGGGAGCAGTTATCATCAATTATCCTAAGATCCAAATAATTGATGCAAAAATCTGCATCCATGTCGTTCAATTCTTCATATAAAAATTCTACAATTTCTTTATTATAGCATTCTACTACTGCGAAATAGTATCTTGAACGCTGGATTTGGTATAGTCGTATTTTTTCATTTTCTTCTTCCTCGTCGGCACTGAGGCTGCCGTGCAAAACGGCTTGCTCGTTTGATTTTTTCTTAAGCTTGGCCTTGGAGGAGTCCTTCCCATGTGATTTCGCCTTTGTGCCTTCCTTCCTGGGAGCCTTCTCACCATTTGCCTCATCCCGTGCACTGCTCTCGGAGTCTACACTTTCGTCATCGCCTGTGCTGTCGTCCTGATCAGCAGTATCGTCCACGTCTGCGCTTTCGTCACTCTCGACGCTCTCGTCACTATTAACACTTTCGTCGGCACCTCCGCTGCTGCTGTTGCCGGTGTCCTCACTTGGGCTCAGTGCCTCTTCATCACCTACTTCGTCACCTACATCACCCTCCTCGTCACCCTCTTCACCGTCATCTTCATCCTCTTCCTGCTCCTCCTCCTCCTCTTCATCCTGAAAGTAATCCAGAAAGTTGTTGTGCCTATAGACAGCTCCGTCACCTTTCCTTTTCAGCTTTAGGATGTCTAAATTAATTTTGGGGCCATGTTTTCTTTCCTGCTTGAGCTTTTTTTCTCCATATTTGGAGGTGTATATAGTGACCTTCTTCACGGCTCTACTTTTTGTATAATCTATGTTTTTTTTTTTCCTCTTTTCAAAATTGTAATATGACTCAAACAGGTAGAAAATGTCGGCACTGGATATATTGTCCCAGTCACAACCTAGGACGGTAAAGCGGCTGGTCACGTCGAAGGTCATCTTGATATTTTCCTTATTCCTCTTATACTTGGCATACCTCTGTTTTTCATTTTTGGTGTTATTTTTTTCCTTTTTAAAGTTAATTTTTTTCGTTTTGTTTAGCTTTTCCCTTAACATGTTATGTTTTTTTTGCTTGTCCATTTTTTTCCCTTTTTTCTTCAAAAGGGGGTTGCTTAAATCGTCCTCTCTTTGGCTGCTCTCATCACTGCTCTCTTCGTCGCTTACTTCGCTGGTGTCTGCAGCCTCTCCTTCATCGCTCAACTCATCGACCGTCTGGTCATACATCTCCTGACATTGTGCAATTTTTCCTTTGGGTCTATTTTTTCCACTTTTTCCCTCATGGCCGTTCTCCTGCATGCTACCATCACACACGCTCTTTTTTTTTAACTTTTTGTTTTTATGCTTCAAATCCAAGGAACTGCTTTGCAGCGATTCGGTAATGTACTCCTGTTCACTACTTTGGCGTTTTCCTGCGGGAAAGAAACTGTCCTCCCCGTCGACCTCTTCATCTGTCATGTTTTTCATTTTTTTCCTTGGGGGCACAATAATTGTATAATCTTTCGTTGTATCAGAATTGGTGTAATTAGAGGATTCATTTATTTTGTTGATTTCTTTCTTGATCGCCATTTCGCTGTCGTTTTCATCTTGTCTCTTCAAATCTTCCTTGTTTCTACTTCCCCCCTGTTGTGCTTTGCTTTCCGCGTCGCTATGCATCGCTTCTTTGTTCCTCTCGCTCAGGTTTCTAGTCTGATTTTCATCATTCTCTATCACTTCTTGCTCTATCCAGTTTTCCATACTTAACGTGTTGTCATTTATTTTGAATGAATTATTATTCATTTTGTCTTACGGCATGAGGGACTTTTATTGATTTGTTCTTTTCTGGACATGTGTTTGCGCACCTGTTCGCAGCGGGACAGCTGGGACTTTGTTCTCCACGTGTATAGGGGTATGGATACTTACTCAACAACGCTGGCACCACAAACAAGCACTCCTGCGTGATGGGCGCAAAGGGTCCATACACCTAAGCGCATATATATATGGACTACGCACAAGACGTTGCTTATGTAGTGGGGCCGCCAACTAAGCACCTTTTTAAAATGGCTCCTGTGCTGGTACATAAACAGGGGGGCCCTCTGTAGGACAAAGATGGCGTACACGTTTTGCCACCTTCTTGTACAGTTGTGCGGGGGAGGCTGAAAAATGATCGACCGCGAGAAGCTCGAGTAGGAGTTTTCCCCCTTCGCTAAAGGGTTCGCACGAGACTCGCATAAGAATGCTCTCTCGGAATGACCATTTTTGCATCCGCCGCTAAAGGATACAACATATACCCACGTGCATATAACAATTTGCCACTGCGGTGGCGCGATGGAGTAATGACTCAAGGACACAATTTCTACCCGTACAAATTGCGAGAGGGCCTCCAAAAAAAATCAGTTTTCAATACGAAAACGTTATAAAATGACTGAGCGCAAGCGAACAATTTATATTTATATAAATCGTCTGCTCCTTTTAATTTTATCAAATAACCTTCATAACGCAATTGTACAGCAAAAAAAAAAAAAAAAAAGAAAAAAGAAAAAGAAAGGAAAAAAAAAACAGAAAAAAAAAAAATGGCATAATGAGAGATTGACAAGCGGGAAACATATACATATAGAATGTAATATAACGATGAGGACAGACGTATGCCTCTTACGCTGGCCATTCCGCCGTGCCAGCAGGACCCCATATATGCATCAAAAAATTGTGCATTATTTTAAGCATAGCCTGCACTGAATAGCGCGTGTATATATATGCTCTCAAGTATGAAAAGTTCACATTTTGCCCGTTTAAAACCACGCCTTTCCAAGTATACTTGCGCGAAGTGCAGGAACCAGCTTAAGTACGCTTAACGCCTTTTTATATTCACTTCAACAGTTTTGTAAAAATTTTACGCGTAAGGAAATGGGATGCTTAATTATATAAACGAAAAAGGTTAAACGAAATGTACTTTTATACGAAGAAAAAAAAAAATACCTAAATTGGTATACCTGAGAAAAAACGAGGAACATTTCCCGTCACGTGCTACGCGATGCGGCTTGTAAAAGGAAGTGCCCAAAAGGGGGGTAGCCCCAAAGACGTACATTTGAGAACGCGCAAATGGGCATACAAATTGGCTCACAAATAGGCGTAAAAATGGGAACCAACCCATGCATAATGATTGAGTATATGTACATTCTTATATGACGCCCCCCTAGCGCATATGTCTATTCAAGGCAGAATCGCCTTGTCCCCGGCGCCCTGTCGCAAAAACTCCACTTGGTTAACTACCTCCCGTAGGCCCACATAGAGATAAACGCGAAAAGGCCAGACTCTCCAAAAACAACGGAGCAGCCAAAAAGTGGACGCAAAGAGAGGCGGCGAAAATGCTGTTCATGCGATCTAAACGATAATACAGCAGATCCATCTGCAACATGAAAGAATTCATGTTTCGCTTGCGAAGTAACGTCTGCTGCACTGGGGGCTACGAAAAGGAAAGAAACTATTTAAATGAAAATATAAAAAAAAGCAATTGTCAGTCAATACTCAAAAAGTGTTACTTTACGTCTTATGTGGCTTGACCTCATGTTATTCTTTTTGAAGAAAAAATAAACAACCAATTAATGCAGATAGGGTGGACCTCTTCGTTTTTGTACTCCTTATGCGTGCACACATATTGTTAAAAAAAAGGGGGGAGGCGGCATATGGGAACATGCATTGCGAGATCTCTCGGCACATTTGTAGATACATACGTGGATCATATATTATGTGCTGTTACCACACAAATGGTCGACAAGGAAAAGGATAAAAAATATACAAGAACGTCTCCTCGCATGCATGATGAAAATGTGCCTATGTTGATGAGCCAATATGTGGGGCAAGGGAGTCTCATCAGATTTGATCTATTCAGGAGCAAAAAAAAAAATTGCATCCCACACATTAATTTCACCTCTGTTGTTGTATAAAGGGAAATTAAATTGTGCATTCGGTTTAAGGAAACAAGCACACCCTACTCGACGCTTCCAAAACATAATTGAACAACTACCTCTTTACATTCCTTTATAACATATTTGCCGCATGGTAAAACGTAAAAGTGCGCACACATTTTTAGGGGGAACACTGAGGGCACACACCTCTTTATTTTCCCAAAGTGGGCTCAATTATATCATGTAGAGAACCGAACTGAAGCGGAAAACCACGCCCGGACTGTGACAAATGATACGTAGTACGTTCCACATGAATAGCACAATTCACGTTTTACCTTCAAGTAAATTTTGTTCTTAAAAACGTTGTCCCTAGTGTCTACAAGTTTAATGTGTTTACTGTGATGATATATGTTAACTGTCCTGTTATAAATGCTACTTGGAAACCGTCATTGCGCAAAAGGTGGCTAAACTGTTCTTGCCATATGCACATTTTACAAAAAAGACACTGCAAAAGTTTATTCGTGTGCTGTGAAGAATGGTGCACATGTACAGTAACACATATGCCTTATGCATATGCGCAAATTTTATCACTTGAGAAATGCTCTAAAATAAGCCAATGGTAAGTACATTTCGAAAAGATCACTTCAGTGCGGTTAAAAAGTGAAAAACAAAAAAAAAATTACATATCACCTTTATACTGGACAAACATTCAAATATTTTTTCCTTTCGCTTCCTGTTTAAAAAGACGGAAGGAATTATGCCGACGTAAATAAAAGTGAACTTAATGAGCAATAAACATATGTAATAAATTGTGTGTACAAAACAAAGGCCTTCCTTTTCACTCTCAGTTCTTACGAGCTTTAAATGGCGCCTTGCATACTCTGTGTGCAATTATCCAAGCGCAAGAACTTTTTAATTTTTCCGTAGGACTATCCGCTCAGATCTGTAGCAAAAAAAAAAAAAAAAAAAAAAAAAAACAAATGAGCGAAAACGTGTTTAGAAAAATGTGACGTAACAGTGTGCAAGTCGGAACATTTTCTGTGTCTGTAGTTATGGGTGAGCTCATATTTGCGTGTCTGCGCTGCGCAAATTAAAAGCGGGAAAATTCGGTTCATTCGCGCAGGGGCAGACACGCAAATATTGGTTAGCGCCGTTCAAGAATATTTAAATTGGCAAAAACAGCGACACGAACAATTATGAGAAGTGATTACTCAATAAAAAAAACATTTTTTTTTTTTTTTTTTTTATTGATGACGACAAGAGACAATTAAAGGAAAAGCGACGGCATTAAATGGGCTTTTTTTTTTTCCTTTTAAAAATTTACAACTGTGTGTGCAAAACAGATGGGTACACAAAGTTGCTTCTCTTGGAAGTGGCACTACATAAACCCATTTCGATACAGAGAAGAATGCGGCACTTTGTTTTTCCCATTGTGCATTATTCAAACAAGTCAACTTGCGTCCAAAATGTAGCCACACACAATGTGTTTATATGTCACCGAATATTACTGCGTCTTGTCCTTTCAATTAGTTGTGAACGTACCGAATAGTGACTCCAGTTGCTCCCTCTGCAAATTAAAGAAAAAGTGAAAAGGTGTTCCAAGTGCGGAATGAAAATGTTAGCCGCGCGAAAAAGACACATGAAGAGCAGTAAGAATAAGGGTCACATAAATGAGAGTAAAAAAATGTCTCTATGGTAAATCATTCGCACGATGATGCGCTCTCTCATCTCTTCTTTTCGAATGAAACGCACATTTCGTGCGCACAAATTTGAGGGGACACAAAAGACAAAGTGACAAAAAACAAATTGGCCTCTCTCGTATGTTACTTGTTTTTTCGAGTAATCCATGAAATATTTGTTGCCTGTTAAAACCTGCTTTTTGCGCAAAAAGGGGAAAAAAGACAATTCTTGCGAGTGGGTGCATGTGCGTGGATGTGTCATGCATAGTGCTAAGATATCCACGCGCTTGAATAGTCAATCTTAAGAGGTTTAGCCCTTTACATTATTCATACCTTCCTGAAATAATTCTTCATTTTGTTTTGCTCCATTTTCCTGTTGTTTTCTCTAAAGCATAACCAGGCACAAATTAAATGTGGCATTTTTCCTCATGTGCATGAGGAGATGGGAAGTTGCGAATTGCTCTGCTCTTTAAATGAACGAATCGCTCTTTTGTGTGCCCTTACATTTCTTTGACTAAATCTTCGTTCATAAGCGACTCGGTGTAGTAAACATTAATGACCGAGTAAGGCGGCTCATTCTGTAATTTGGGGGTACACATTATACATGGATTTTTTTTTTTTGGAGGATGAGAGGGCGCAAGAAAAGGCACAGTTGAATGGAGTGGACGCTTGATAAAAAGCCAAGGGAAGAAAAAAAGGTAGAGTATTTGGGAGATGTAAACCCCCATGTAGGCGCAAAAAAAAAAAAAAAAAGAATTTTTCACTTTACCATATCTCTATCAATTTGGACAAACATGCCATCCTTCATTCCAGTTTCCCCATTTTCGTTTCTTAGCGTTAGACTTATTTCGGCACAAAGTAGAAAGAGAAAAATTAAAAGGACAACTGTTTTCATCATTTTTTTTTTTTTTTTATTTTCGAAGAATTGACATAATACTGTTAAAAAAGAGAAAAATCACATGTTACAAATTGGCCCATATGAAGAGTTTAACTTCAGTAAATAACAGGTTTATTGATGAAATGAATGTTACGAGAAATACTGTTTGTTTCCATTGTGACCATCTTGAAAGAAAGAATTACACGCAAGGACAATTTCGTGCGTGTACTGGTGTATATACGTTGCTTTCGCTGAAATGCAAGACAATAGTTTTTTTTTTTTTGCCGCTTTGTATTTTTTTCTTTTTTTAACTCCCCAGATAAGTAAATTTTGCCATTTTGCCTACATGCGTATTTTTTAGGGCTAACGGCATAATTTCCACATTTACGCTTTTAGCAATTTTTTGAGGAACATCAATCACACTGCAAATGATTAATTCCACACTGTTGCTGACTATTTTTCTTTTTTTTTTTTTTTTTTGTGGCGCGCTTTGCCGCTGTGTCACTTGCGACATTTTAACCGCGTGGTTGAATATTTTCCGCATTGCACTGATCACCATGACAGTTGCTGTTCGCTCGAAACGCTCCGGTTTGGTCTAGTGTTGTTTTCAGTTTTTTATTTTTTTACAAAATAGGACACAAAAATGGAACAGCGAAAATGGGGAAAGAAATGCTAAGAAAAGCTCTTTTTGACGATCTGAGTTTTTTTTTTTTTTTTGCGAGCTTTTATAAATAGACAAGCTTGCAATTGAGAGGACAGCTTGAAATAGGGTCTTTTGCTTGCACAGAAAAAACAAAATAATAATAATAAAATTAAATAAAATGACCAAAGGGGGTACACACAACTACGTGTAAGCAGCTAAAGGCTCACTGGAACAAGTTTACAACTCAAAGGATCCCTTTTTAACATGTTGCAACGCAGACCTATGTGTTCACACAAAGAACATTAAGTATGCATGCGCTGCTAAGCGTGGTCTTTAAAAGGAGAGATTAATTTGTTTTACAGAGCTAATTGCCCCCAAATGGATCAATTTAAAAAGAGCGAACAGAAAGAAAAACAGGAGAAAAACAGAAAATGGAGATTTAACTGCATGTATTTTACAAAAAAAAAAGAATGTTGCACGTTTTTGAGCTATAAAAAGTTCAAATGACTGATCACTCCTTAGCAACATTTTTCGTATAAAAAAAAAGAAAAAATTAATTAAAAATGCACAAATGAGAGTACACCCTCTTTTATTTTTCATTAAAAAAAAATTATAATTGTCCTCAAACTGTCTTTATTGTGTACGAAATTGTAAAAAAAAAACTATTCTCTCATTTTTCAAAATAAAATAACAACATAAAAATATGTTTACACATACATGAATACACCCGTGTCTATTTGTTCCCCCCTCTCTTTTAACACGAATTGAAAGTTCACAAATAAGACGCCTTTTTTTTAGTTTAGCCTTTCCACTGCACATCCTTCGCACGTCGTACACCATACTTCACTTCTCAGCTGTCACGCGCAATCTCAAACTCTATCTTAAAAATGAATATGAGCTCACCAGTACTCGCTTTGCCGGAAGAAGGAAAGAAAAGACGGATGAGACTGATCCGATTGAGAAATGGGCACTACAGAAGAATCGTTGACATCACAAATACTGAAGAAAGAAAATTATTTCCGAATATATGTAGCTGTGCTTGCGTCACCCCCCGAAAGGATGAAGCTGGTACGTTTTTTTGCACTGTTAAGTGGTTACGCTACAGGTGTTTCGCCAGTTATTGCGCGTTTGTTGCGTCCTCCCGTGGGGACTACCTGCCTACGCAGCTGCATGATATATTTGCATTTTTGCCCATTTGCCCCCACAGAGAATGAAGGAAAATTGGAAGACGTAAAAAATGCCAAGGGCTCAAAGGAGTATGACGACAAGAGCGATTACATGGAGTCTGAAAAGAAAGAATCGTACATAGTTGCAATAAATGAGGAGGATCAAACAGAGAATCTGTATTCTAAAACAATCTCGTTCACATCTATTACGCCTACAAGCGTAAGGAGTGAGGAAGAAGAATCTCGCAGGAAACTGTCCCTGTTGGATGCGAAGGAAGAAGAGGAGGAAGAAATCGAAGTAGAGGAAGAGGAGGAACCGGAAGAGGAGATAGAGGAAGAATCAAGTGTTGAAGAAAAAGAAGAGGAAAAAAAACAAGTTGTACCTGAAGCAAAGAAACTAATAGAACCATCCAAAACGCTGATGAGAGGAACCAAGGCAAACATTTATTTCTTATCAAATAAAGAAATGGTACAAACTTTAATGTGTTACAATTACAATTGCAACGCTGTGGTCTTCGAAAAAGACACCATCCTAAGGTACCTTTACATGAAGTCAATCAACAATATCATATTGAATGAGCGCATGATTGACGAGCTGTGTAAACAGGAAGATTTAAAATATGTCCTAACCAGCAATGCTATAGTTTTAGAGTCCACAGATTTTCTCAAGCCAATGATTATAGAGTTTGAGTCATCCATTTCAAAGAGAGTATTTGTTAGGCATCTCAAGTACAATGCAAAGAAAGAAATAGACATGAAAAAGTACCACGATTACATGGGCGAACTTAACACGAATGAAAAAATACGTCTCATGAAGATTGAAAGGTTCCACTCCTTCAATAAGATGATCCAGAGTAACTGATTTTTATTTTTGTCATACGTGGGAAGTAGGGCAAGTTCATGCAGGATGAAGATGGAATGCTATGAGAACATAATTTTGTTCATGAGAAACATCCTCTTGACAAAACTGCCTGTCGAGTTGGCGAAAATTTTACACACCTTTTGTATTACTACGCCGTGGTGAAAGGGACGACTTTAAAAAGGTTAAAAAATAAAACCTATGCGATGCTTTGCAAATTTTGGACGAGAGGACGCGACACACATATGGTCAGCGTTACTGCGGAAAACATTGTCCATGTGGGATATCAGGGATTGTTGCATGCCTTCTCCCCCCCTTGCCTTACCCTTCGCTCGTGCGCGCATCATCACATATTTCGCCTTTTAGCCTTTTGCCCAGGGAACATTGTGCACCCCTGCGTATTTTGCATTATTTGCTTGTATTTTGTTTGTTCTTTTATTTGTTCTCTATTTTTTTTTTCTTTCTTTCCTTTTCCGCAACTTTTGCCTTTCCTTTTTTTGATAGACACCCCTTTCCTTTAATTTGTATTTATAGCCCCCTCTATGTTCCCATTGTGCGCTTAGCTAGTTCGCCATGCCGATAATTCGCGCCCTTTAAATTGATATTACTTAAGCGTAAAAAGTTTCCATGGATTGGAGGAATCCTCACATTTTTAATTATGGCATCGTTTGTGTTTAATTTTGGGAACCCTCCGCTGCTGCTGCTTCTTCCCATTACTCGGTCTCCGCGGTTCTCTTAAAATTTTTTTTTGCCATAGTTGGGCTCATAAAAATGGGGGGCAATTATTCCGCACATTTGTGGTGTATTTAGTGAGCCTATTTGACGCACATTTCCGACGCACCTTTTTTGACTCACCTTTTTAGGGCATTGTTATTTTCCCCCCAATTTGTTAATTTCAACATTTTTCTGTGTAAACCCCCCCAAATGGTAAAGCGCCTGCGCGAGGGCATATGTTAATAGGGGGTTTCAACAGCCGCAGCGTTTGCCGCTTCCCCCCTTTTATGAAACTCTGAAATGAGAACAAGTAACTGCTTCCATCGAGTGGACCATAGCTAGCGCAGCATAATGCATTCGTCAAAAGGTGAAACGAACCCCTGTGATGGTGCCAAAATACATGTGTCACATGCTTTTACACCATAACGGGAACGTCAGTAGGCAGGGTATTCAAAGCTGCAAAAGGAATTAGCGCGTTATCCCTGCTGCCATTGTGTCGTCATCCATGCTAATTCCAAACAGAACAAGCATGACAAACGCGCAAAACGTGCCCCCCACCTAGAAAGTCATGACAATTTTGAAGATACTCCTTCTTTTCCTATCGCTAGCCCACTCATTTGTCTTAAAAAAAAAGGTAAATGCAAAAAAATGGAAATGAACGCCATGTCGAATCAATCTCCACGGTTTGCCATGCAACTCCGGTGATGCGCAGAAGGAGGCGCCCGAAGGTGTAATTGCACCTGGGGAGACGAGGTGGCTGCCTCGTGGAGGCGCGTTGCGCGAGCGCAGTGCAGGTGTGCATACGCATATGTAGAGGTATATAGAACGATACATATATATATATGTATATTTCTTTTTCTCGCCCGCACACACACGTGTCTCAACTGCTCCCCCGCGCAGCCCCAATGGGAGGCGCAACAGGCGCACAGAACCAAATTCCAGCTGTACAGAACGAGGTACTTTAGGAAATTTAAAACAATGCCATACATTCGCGATTCGGGAGAAAACCACATAAAAGAACTGACCAGGGAGCGTGTCAGGCTGAATAAACGAACAACCAATTCGATTACCCTTGGCGCAAATTTTCTGTTTATATGTAACTTGGACAGTAGACTTTCTTCCAAGGACGTTACGCATTTCTTTAATTATTTCATCGGCAACAATAATTGCATAGCGCGCATACGAAGAAATAAATACACAGGTTCGTTGTCATGTGTGGGAACTCTGTCCCCCCTGCGTCGTCTTAGCGGGGGGTTTCGGGTCCATCACATCGCTTCCCTAACCGTTACACCGCTTCCCTCCCCCCCTTTCGCAGGCAGAAACCTGGGGCACGGAATTTTGAAATTCCAAAAGGCAGAAGACGCAACGCTGGTTTTGCTCAATTACCAGGGAATCAAACTGGGAGAGAAAAACATTATCCTAACGGAGGCCTTCAAGAACGAACACCTGAAGCAGAAGAAGCACATCTGCAATGTTTTGCAGCCAAGCAGATCATAATAAAAAACAAATTAGCACATGAATAATGGCGCATAGAAGGGGGTTTCAATACGCGTATATATCTGCACAATACCGTTGCGGTGAGGAGATAACGCAGTGCGGGGTCATAATTTGAAAAAAATATATTCATGAGATGCCATTAGGAATTGACAAAGACTTGCTTGACACTTCTCAAACCCTCAAGGTCAAGAAGGCCCAATTTCATCACATACAGTTTTCGTGTTTTACACGAAGTGGGGCAATGAACAAATCACAAAAAAAAGAAAAATCATAATAAGTTGAAGCTAAGAAAAGGCATATTTTAAAAGTGGACCTGCATTTAACATACAAATGTATGCAAATTTGCACACGTCTGTTTTTTGTTTTACTTTTTTCTTTCTTTTTTTTTTTTTTGTCCATTTCGAGGTGCATTCTAACTAATTTTGCGTGTTGCGCTTTGAGCAGCGTCTATGCATATGACACTTGTGTGTGTGCTTTTTTTTCCCCTCAATTTTTTTGTCAAGTGCGGCAGAATTTTAGCACCGTCTGTACCGCTCCAGTCAGCTGCTCGGCGTAGTTGTGCGACACGTCTATCCTGTTCAGCGGGATGTTATAGCATTTTACAAATCTGTTTATTATCCACCTTCTCTGCCGCTTGGCATACTTATACGTTTTTCTAATCAAATTTTCTTTGCACAAATTGAACAATTGTTCATTACCATCATTGTTAATTTTTTTTTCAATGTACGTATCAAACTCTTTGTATGCAATGCTTTGGTTAATTCCCTTTCCAAACAGCTGAACATTTGCATTTTCATTGAGTTTTTTTAATTTGATGGCTTCGTCTAGGAGTCCCTTCGAAATCATTTCGTCGACTCTCTTTTCAATATTTCCCCGTAGCACATCATCATTGTCGTAGTCCAGATAAAAGACGCAGGGGTCATACCTGGTCTTAGCGAAATCATTATTTTTATGATTTCTCATTTTTATTAGCTCGCTATGTTTTTTATTATGTGAGTAGAAAATATCTAGACTTCTACAAATTCTTTTTCTGTCATTTTGGTGCAACTGATTGGCTCTTTCTTCATCGACCCTTTTTAGTTCAGCATGCAGTTCTGCATTTGTCTTGTGTTCATAAGGATCCGTTCCGCCTTCTCCTCCTTTATCTTTATGCGTTTCGCTGTGGGCTTCTTCCAAGTCTATCACAGATTCCCAAAGCAAAGACTCGATGTAAAGCAAAGTACCTCCAACAACGATGGATAATTTGTTACTCTCACTTATACTACGGATGATGGGTATCGTATGTCTAATAAACTTATGAGCATTGAACTCTTCCTTGGGGCCGCACACATCTAACAGGTGATGTTTTATGTCCCTCTTTTCTTCTTCCTCTACTTTGGCTATACCTACCTTGAAATTTTGATACACTTGCATAGAATCCGCACTAATTATTTCGCTCTCCACATTATTCTTCAATAGTTCTTCACACAAGTCTAAGCTAAACTTTGTCTTCCCACTGCATGTTACTCCGATAATGAGAATAATTTTTTGTTTCTCTGTTCTGTTCAAATTTAGCCGATCAGGTAGGTGGCTATCTTGTGGGTAGGCATCATTCCCATCTACATCGTCAACTTCATTCGCAGCATCATTGCGCGATTTCACAGGGTCCCCGTTTGCCTTCTTCATCACGCCACTTAGGGACGAAGTGTGACTCATGATTTTCTCCTCGTCTTCCTCTCTTATGTCCGATTTGTATTCCTCTTCTGATGCGCTACGCTCGAAATGAGACAACTGGTACGGGTTTAATTTCTCATTTCTGTTTGTTCTTTTCGTGCGAAGGGGGTTGCTACATATGTACAATCTCACCCACCTCTTGCCCACACAAGTATTAGCTACCCAGTCATTTCTCCTCCACAAATGGCGATTCAAATTGAGTTTATGTTTCCGGTGACACCTGTTTGTGTCGTTGCATATGTAGCTTCTGCTATGCTTGCAAATGCTAAAATGTTGTGGACAGGTATTTCTACTTATGCCTTTCCCCCTTGTTATAATGCCCTTTTCATGCTTCACCACAAAGGAGGTAACTGCCACCAGGAAAATATTAACAAAGGGGATAAGTAAGCTCAGAAAAGTGCAATAATAAGGGAAACAGAACATCTATGTTTAGAAAATGATGTCCTTCTATATTTCTGCCAGGCAGCTTGGCGAAGCAGAGTCCCTGTGACGTCTATCAAGATACAGCCCTATACAAAAGCACTATATGCTGACCTTCAAACGGATATACAAGAAATGGCGAGGTTACATCATACATGAGTTTTATTGCGTGAGTATAGTAACATGTGTGTATATGTACACGCGAACAGGTGGTAGCACTGTGGGAGGTTCAAGCGTCGAATCTTTTGACAAGCACCCAAATGAGGAACACCACAAGAATCGCTTTCGCCTTCGCCGCAACCTTACATATTACCTTCACTCTCTAAGTGTCCTTATCACCCCTTAAGATGCAAAACAGCTACATGCTTACGTGGATGCTCCGTTAAGTGCCCCCTCGCACGTATGCTGCTATTTATTCGCGCATCTGTGTATTCAACTTTTTCCCTCACACAATTACTCCCTCATGACGTGTCGTTTTTGCAGTAGTCTTAAAAGGATGACTCCATCCCGTTAAATTAATTCATTTAAGAATGACATATTGGTGAACCAAGTGACACATTTTTGCACTTCTCTCGCGTGGTTATATAATGACACATAGGCGTGAACAAAATAGCAACAAAAAAAAAAAAAAAATGGTAAACAAAGTTGTGCCAAAATGGTGCCTACGCGGCGACAATATTGATTACAAAATGACGAGCGCGTAAGGAACAAGCGGCTCACACAAAAAGTTGGAGAGCATTCAAACAGTTTAAACAAAAAAGGAATTCACAACAGGGTTTTAAGGAGGGGATAACTGCGGATCTCTTCCCTGAACCCTAAATCATTCTCATAGACTCTAGCTTCATAGTTTCTACTACGGGCGAATACTGAGCTATAACTTTGGAGACGGCAAAATGAAGAGCATCCTTGATCATTTCGCTCTGTGCTTTTAATAATTTCATTTGTAAATCTAAAACTTTTTGTCGCTCCAGTTTTTCTGAAATGTCCCTTCTCTTCTGCATCTGCATCACCAGTTCGTCAATCGTGGGGTATCTGCGATTGGTGAAAAGGAAGAATGGCACAACGTAGGGTGCATCCCTGTATTGTATATGCCTAATACATTTATTTCTGTGAATACACACAAGAACGCAGTGTGACTCGAAGCGCTCATATGAGACTGTATCAAGGACGGAGATCGAGAATGACGTGTGTTAAATTTACCCGTAATCCGTCTGGCTTATTTTTACATTCAATATGTTTCCCGTATCTTCATTTTCCTCCTCCTCTATGAAGGATGACTGCTTTTGCAAATTCTCCTGAGAAGGTGGAAAAGTTCCATTGGTATACACATGTGTTTAAGGGGCCCCCAATTTGCGTGACAAACTAAGACGCGCAAATCGCGCGGATCAGTGTGTGATGGTGTAAGCTTAACGCAGTGGATACCTTTATTTGCTGCTTTTCCTCTCGCTGTCCTAACTCCTTCAGCTCCTTCGTCAGGGCTCGGTGCACCACCTTTAAAAGGGGAGGCAACGATGTCCTTAAATGTGGACCCAATTTGGAAGCAAGCACCGATGTACATATGCTTGTGTATTCCCCCTTGCATGACGCAGGCTAAGGGGTGAAAAGAAACATAATAAGCCGCCAACCGCATCGAACTGCAATAACCTTTTTGTCAACCAAGAACGGGTTCAACTGCAGCTGGATCTGCTTCTCCAGCTCCAAAATGGTTATGTCCGTCAAGATGGAGAATTCGGATAAAGCCATTTCGAACATCTGCCAAGAGGGAAGAAGGAGGGAAGGAATTTACAAATCGCCTCTTCCCTCACACGCGCTTACAGATAGGTGTGCCACCGCAGGGAGTTTGCACATGCGTAGAAATACACACAGATGCAACATGCGCGTTTTATGCCTCGTTCTAGGGAACAAAAAGTAAGCCAGTACCGCAACTTCCTCATCGGTCCTGTACTGCTCCATCTCTTCGATTTTTTCCTTTATCTCTACGCTAGGTTCAGTTAACTCGGACAGCTGGGAAAGGGGCACGGTGAAAACAAAAAACAAAATTACGACAAAACGGTGTCGTCTTCCATTATGTAGTTCTCTATGTTAAGACGGTAATTGGCACCACCCATGTGCGTACCGATATCTTCACAGAAGGCAACGTTCTATTAACATTATTCTGTTCTAGAAAGGACGTATGTTTTCTAAGTTCTGGTGGTGGTAGTGGCCCACTTGTTGCTTGATTGACCTTTTGGAGTTTCTTCAAGTTATTTTTCGCTGCAACATTTTCAGGAAGCTTCTTTAAATTTTCACGTCTTAACATTTTGACAGAATTAGAAATGACCGAGCCAAGCATATTCGGGTCGTTGAAAATGCTTAACGATTTTTCCACTGTGTCTTGTATTTGTAACTTTGAGCTCGACAAGGCTTTGTTGTATTCGTCTTCTACCTTTTGCATCATTCCCTATGAGTTGTATGACGTGTTTACTTTTGTTTATTTTTCAGCCACACATTTTAATACTACTTTTATGCGCGCGTTTGAGCAGATTTTTTTGACGCATAATTGGCCACGTAGGCAGTTCTTGCCTCCCCCTACCTCCTCCAGCTTAAGCCTCGCAGATTCCAACAGCTTAATTTCGGCCGCCACTTGCGGTAAAGGCTATTTATGGGAAAAGAAGAAAACGGGTATATGGGAATAATAGAGCAGTGATGTATGGGACAATAAGCCGCATGAATTGGCGGAGGTAGAACGGTTTTCAAAACCACCCTTAGGCGTAACCCATACACCATGCGTGCCTATTCTTGGGGATCCCCCTGAGTACGCTGTCGCATGTGTATGGATAGTCAATTGCCTATGCGGGTAATCTCCCCCCGTATGGATATACTATCCCTTTTGTTTTTTTCTATTCTTATGTATTTCGATTTTTCCTTACATTTTCTGGGGGACTCAACTTGACTTCAATAGAAGGGAGCGTCTTGGAATTGAACTCGTAATCAATTGGCCACCCCATATTTTCCTAACAAGGCGAATAGAGAACGGGGTCGGACATGTGAGCTAGCAGAAGAGACAACTATGTTTACGTGGTAAAGTCGAATTTTTTTTTTTTTTTTCGCTTGTTTCCCCATTTCCACCGTACATCTTCACACAGAATTATCTGCAAAATGGAGGATGCCAGAACGGCACAAGGAACAAGAAATTTCAATCTGAACAACATTTTGTTCATTACAGTATTTATTTGTTAATCGTAGGTTAGAAGAAACGAGTTAGTTTCACTTATATCCACGCATGATTCATGCAAAGGTTTGTAGACACTAACACATACATACGTACATGTCTGCGTCACACAATAGATTCATTTTCATCAGCAAATGCACAAATATGTGAACAGTTGGCAGAAAAGAAATAAAAAAAGTGTTCACGTCAAAATAACAAATCGTTGCATATAGCGGGAGAAGATATGGGCATAAAAATATGGAGTAAAAAAAAAAAAAAAATAGACTTAAATGTACATACACTTCAAAAGTTGTTCTTGTGAGAAGGAGATTTAAGAAAAAAAAAAAAAAAAGCACACTTCTCTGTCTTTATTTAAAAATTATTTTGCAAAGTTGCATTCTGTGCTTTATTCTGTAATGTTTTTAAAAATAAAAAAAGAGTCAAGCCAATGGCCTTTTTGCTTTGTTCAACGATTAGACATATATACCAAACATACGCCTTAAAAAAATTGATTTGTTGAAAAGACCCCATTATGGCATTACTCATAATGCAGATCGATTTTCTGTACCCTTCTTTTTGGCTCATGTAATTCCCACAAGATAAAGTGCACATATATTACTTGACATCGCAATAGCGGTAAATCCATGTGGCGTCTTTTTTTTTTTATTTATATTCTCCTAAAAGTTCGTATACCTGCATAGTGCAGCTGGTCCATCCTACCTATTAGTACTCTTATCTGCGGTGATGCGCTCTCCTTTTGCATTTTTTTTTTTTTTTTACGTTGTTTTTTCGTGATTATTCAGCTGGATTCTTCGCTGCTGCTTTGGGATTCGCTTCCACTTTCGCTTTCTGATTCACTTCCACTTTCAGATCCACTGTCACTTCCACTTTCACTTCCGCTTTCACGTCCACTATCACTTTCACTTCCGCTTTCGCTTTTACTTTCGGATTTGCTTCCCGCTTTGCATTCCTTTTCCCCTTCCATTGTAGTACCATCGATTTTATTTTGGGCGTTTTGTTCAACTTCATCCTTAACTTCGTCATCTTCGCCTTTGCTATCCTCGCTAGAGTCCTCACTACTTGTGCTGTCACTTCCCCCAGTGTCACTTTTACTTGCTGCTGCTTCACTTCGACACGTGTCTTTTTCCCCCTCCTCCTCACTCTTGCTATTTGCCTCCTCAATTTTGTCACATCCTACTGCGTTACCTATTAGCTTCCTGTTGTCCTTGTCCACGTTAGTTTGTCCTTCGGGGCTGTCTTCGCCGCTTCCATCATTCGTACCTTCGTCACTCTGTTCATCATTTTTAACAATACTTTCCCCTGCCAACGTTTCAACTTTTCCATGTTCCTTGCCAACGGGTCTATCACTTTCGCTATCTTCACATTCGCTACCTGCACTTTCACTGTCTTCACTCTCGCTGTCTTCACTTCCGCTATCTCCACTTCCGCTATCTTCACTTGCACTATCTTCACTTTCGCTCTCTCCAGTTTCTCCTTCGCTGCTTGTGTCCCCTTCCTCTTCATCCTCTTTACCCATGCTGACTAAACCTCCCCTTTCCTTGTCACTGTCATCCCCAATTTGTTCTTTTCCCTCGCAGGTATTTTCAACAAATTTGTTCCCCTGTTCAGCATCGACATTATTTGGGGATTTTTTTTTTCCTTCTATTTCGGCTGAATTCTCCCTTTGCAGCTCTGCATTCTGTTCGTTATCGTGCGCCTCTTGGGCCAGTTGGGCAGCTGGGGTTTCTTCAGACACGTCAGCTTTGACCATATGGGCGTCTTCAACAGCTGCCACCTCTTCAACGTCTGCCACACCTGGAAAAGCTGCAACGTCCTTCACGGCAATCTCTTCGCTATCCAAAGCTGCGCGTGCGTCACTTTTATTTACGCCCCCTATCACAACATTTTGCTCCGTGTCTTCTCCCCATTTGTCGGCTTCGCAAGTCGGCCTGTTTGAATTCTCCCCCACATCACGTGTATCATATGGAATAGCCACATTTCCTATCATTACTTCACTTGTGCATAAGTTCACAGGATTCTCACCTCCATTATTCACTTCAAATTTATTTAAGAAACTACAATTTGTGTCGATTCTTTTTTCGACATAATAATTCTTTAAGCTATTAAAAGCATAATTGTAAAAGTCATCATATTTTAGCAAGCTTTCCATGAATTTATTTACAAGCAGTAAGGACTCGGAATTTTTTTTTTTTATTTCGCCGCTTAGAAGGAGGAAATCTTTTCCCGCTGGATTGTCTTCCTCCTCACCGGGGGCTTCGCCTCCCATTAGCAGTTCGTCCGTTGACAAATTGTCCGCTGGCAATTCGTCCACTTGGTCGTCGTATGCGACGTTGTCTTCTTCATCATCTGCTTCTTCGTCCATTTTGTTCACCGCGACGTCGACGACGTCCTCTCCCGTAGTACTCCCCATCACCGTCTTTTGCATGTGCTCCTCTGCCCCTTGTGCTATTTCATCTCGAGAGCTTCGTTCCTTTTCACTGTACGCATTCAGGGCGTATTCTTCGTTGGTGTCTTCCTTGATTGCATTTGAATGTTCCATTTCGTCCAACTCGTCAGCGGCTCTCTCTTGGACCTCTTCTTCCTGCAGTTCCACTTCTTCAACCTGTTCCTCTTCCTCCTCGACTTCTTCCTCTACTTCCTCTTCTTCTTCCTCTACTTCCTCTTCCTCCTGGACTTCTTCCTCCACTTCCTCTTCTTCCACTTCGACTTCTTCCTCCACTTCCTCTTCTTC